GCAGAGCATACTGGCCGAAGCTCCAGGTGTCCTTGTTCGATTGTAGCGAACGAGAAACGGCCAACCAATTAATGGTTAGCAGCAAGCCACTGATCACAAAAAAGGTGACGGTGATCAATGATCCTGAAACGAGTAAAGTGCCCGCCGCCGTGTGGAGCAGTCGCTCCGGATCCTGCGGATTGCTGATGGCGCTCTCGTAAATCACCCAGTTGGTGTGGGCAAAGATCACCATGAACATGGCGAAGAACTTGAAGCAGTCGAGGAATCTCAGTTCGCGACCGATCTTGCCACTTGGCTCCTGATTAAGTCGGTACCAATTCCGGGCCACCGAAAAGGTGAGCAGCACCTGTTGGGCAGTGCTTTTGGGCGGTGTCTTGTAGTGATCGCGCTCCTTGAGCATTTTGTCATGTCGTCCTCGCTTTAGATGCAGATCCACTAAGCTTCCCAGGCAAGCCAGGACCAGTAGAGTGCCCAAGATCCCATAGAAGGTCAGGTTCCACGCATCTAAAAACGAGAAGGAATATTTAATTACCATTCGTTAGTATTACCTCATCGCCATAAAAATGAATGCATAACACTTTTTGGATGCTAATGCAAAGAAACATTATTTACACAATGATATAAACTCTGACTCACCATCTTCCACCTGATGTCCCGCCTCATCGCAGTACTCCACCACGCTCTTGGCCAGCACCCCAAATCCACGACGCTGCAGCCGCCAGTTGAGGCAGGCATTCGTCAAACGTTGGTGCCGTTGGCGGTTGTTGGATTCCATCGAGAACAAGTCCAGATATACGTTCACCTGCCGAAGATTACATCGACCATGGGGCGATCATTAAAATACCCAAATGTCAACGTCAGGCCCTTGGCCTTGAAAGAAATGAGTTCGATTTGATTGAATTGGATCGAATTTCACTGTTTGACCGCCCATTTCCATTTTTGGCCAACGCCTAAGCCAACACATGCGCTTTGTTTAATCAGCCATCGTAAATGCATTTTGATGGCGACTGCATCAATGGCATCGCCACACCATACACCATACACCATTCCCATCTCTCATCTGCTGCCAGCACCCATTGCCCCGCTATCCGATGTTTAATCAGCGGATTTTCCGGCACTAATTTATGCAATATATAGGTAATGATGATACGGATCACACAACTAGCCAGGGGCGTCTGCAGGGGGGTCTTTTCAATGGGACGTTTCCCGTTCATATGGAGAATTAGCTTTAAGGTTAAAGGGCCCTTGGAAATAGCCACTTTCAAAAAACAATGAGCCTGCTTCTAACTCCACACGGATATTTAAAACGTTAGAGCATGCGAGCTCTTTATTGCAAGCAGATGAAACCTACACATTATGCTTCTTTAAAAAAGTATAAGCTAAAGACCATTAAAAATATGTCTAAAACTCGCTTACTACGCCTCTGTACACCAATATGAAGCTCACGGAGAGCACGAGTTGAATAAACTTTGGCGCTGATATCCCGGCTTCTGTGTCCAATGATTGTTGATTGACCATTACGGCCGACGCCTCGGCCAGCGGATGGATGGGTTTTGAAATATCTTTATCTGTATCTGCCCAGCAGCGAGTTTGAAGATTGAATTTAATCGATCGTTAGCCGCAGCTGAATCGCTCCCAATGAGGTGTCCCCTCCGTGTGGCCTTACCTTCGCATTTTCCGATAGCAGGCCGGCTTGCAGAGCCTCCAGTTGGCTTTTATTTAATCCGGCCAGAGAAGCCTCACATTCGCGCAGGCAGAGACCAAAATATAGCTGGCTGTGATCGAAGTGATGACGATCGTACTGCGAAATCTCTGCAATTGCCCGCCAGGCGGCCACCGACTCATCGGGCTGGACTTCCGCGCGGACGAAGCAGTATGTGGACCCCTGGCCATTCAATTCCTGCAGGCACCGATCATAGTCATCCAAGTCGTACAGTGGAGGCATCTCGTAGAACTGCGTCACTGCAAAGTGGAAGGGACGGGAACAGATCAAGAAACGATATGGTGAATCAGTCGGATAAATTGGCTCATTAAGTGGGAAACAAGTTTTTGAACTAGGCAGGTCCTTTTTTCGCTAGAATTGCAGTCCGGGTTTATTGGCTGTTCGTTCAGTCAAGTGAAAGGAAACTTGTTTCCTTTGCCCGAGCTTGAACTTGTTTTGCATTTGCTGGAAGATTCTTCATCTCTATTCCGATTGAGGGAAATAATCAAACAGGTACATGTTAATATGGTAATTGTTCTGGCTTTTGTTTTTTTTTTTTTGCTGGTCAAGTCAAGTGTGAGTGCCTCAATCTCTTGGCAAATTCCATACACTCTGGCTGAGTTAATTGTTTGTCAAAATAATGCTCCATCATCGAATTCTCGACAGGCCTTTGTACCCCGAATTCGGGAGGGGAACTTTTGGCGCAGAACACGCAAGTAGGCGGATCAGCTGCATATTGGGTTAATATATTACTAACTTTGGCAATGTGTTCTATAGTTATATCGATTGACAAGCATAACATGCAATCTGAACAAATGGAACTGCAATGTGGTTTTCCATTTGTCGGTTTAGAACTTCCCCGTTGCTAAAGGAAGCACGAAAAACGCTTATTCAACTTAAATTAATCATGGGTTTTACGTGATTTGTGGTTTTAGCTAAAGTTTATTTTTTTCAATTTACATTTACCAGTTCTATAACTCGCCTGTAACTCAAATAATAAAAATTAAACTCATTCATTAAGTTGCAAAATTGTTGATTTGTAATTTGAAAAGAGTATTACCACAAACCTTATTATACCACTTACTCATAGTTAGTCTGATTATTTAACAACTATCAGAACTTTTAATAGGCTCATAAACAAAATTAACACGGACCATAAATCTTTCCCACTGATTGTAATGCATACTTACTGTTCAATTGAAAGCACTGCGCAGCCGTAAAAGTGGCTGCTAAAATCACGATGTGAAGCATCATCATGGGATGCATCGAATCGCCTATCGTAATGCACCCTCTAATTGATTGTCTTCGACTCTTGGCACTTTCGTCACTCGAACTCCAATCAAATGAAACGGCAGCGCACCAATAACAATAAGAAGCTGAATTTCATCAACCGTCGCGACTCGAGGTAAATGAAGCAAAAACAAAGCGGATGACCAGACCCAGGGGCTTCTGCTGTCCGGCCAATGTCGTTGTTAGGAAATGCACTTTTGGCCCAAAACCCAACCGAAACCCGACCGAATGGAATGGATCCGCCAGCTAATGAACCGTTTGCGCCAACGTGCGAGCCGAGAATGAAACGCGGTCCAAACAGATGCGTGCGTCTAGGGCCTCTGGATGAGATGGGGCTCCGCTGCCTATGCCTCTGCCTCTGCCTCTGCCTCCGTCTCTGTCGATGCAGTTTCTGTAATGATGATGGGTTTCAAAACTCCCCCGAGAAATGCGTTGGTTTCCGAAAAATAAAAGAAAACGCAACGGCAAAATGCGTTGGAACATGTTCGATGCTGGGCTCTCCAGTCGCCCACATCCAACTGATTTATGATTATATTTCGGGTTTCCGATCGAGTTAGTGGTTATTGGGCACCAGCGTTTCCCACTTATAAATAGCTGTGTTTGGCGGGAAAAAATTCGAAAGGAGCTGGAATTGCCAACGAAAATGCTAATTTAACGATGTCCTCTTCTTTGGATCTGTTATTATTCGGAGCTTTGGGTTTTGGGCTCTGTTGTCATTTAATTTCAGCAAATTTTTTAAAGAACGCCAGAACGGACGGGAAAAAAGCTGAATTGGCAACAGTGATAGGCATGATGTTACGACCAGCTGGGCGGGGGACTTACGAATACCCTTAAAAAAGTCATCTGCCAAAACAAGTTTTCGGCAAATATGGAGATATGTTATCACAATTCAGAAAAGAACTGTTCACCTACGGCGTAGATGATGAGGGGAACAAGATGCGAAATTAATTGAGGGTAAAGAAGATGAGGCCCACGTACGGCCGTGGGCCATTAATTATCAGAACCAAGCTTAAGATGGAATCAAAATGAAATGCAAAAAGGCAGAAATCAAATGACTTAGGCAGCAAACTTGCTTTCTCCATTTGGACTAAATAATATACAATATGGTGTTTTCAGACGGCTTGTGGTTCTTTCAAATACCTAAACAACTTTTTGTACAGCTATGAGATTTATTAAAAGACCTTGTATTTGTTTACTCTGCTTTCAAGGCAACTTCTTGGGATAATTCACCTGTCCCAGGCACGTGCTCGTCTGGATTTGTCCCACGTGGTCAGTCTCCATCACGTGCGCGATGTGATCGCCCTGCTGACGGAGAGCATCACCCAGACCAGCCTCAAGCCGGACTCCAGCAGGTTCGGAGCTCGAGGAGGAGGCAGCGCTAGAGGAGCAGCCGGAAGGAGCGCTCAACTGCGCAATTTTGTGGAGCTTACGAAAAGACGCTCGGCGGCTTTGGGACGACGCATCTTTGATTTCGATGAGCTAAAGGAAATCGGAACCCGGGCTGGCATTTTGACTGGCTTAAGCCAGATGGTGGAAATGGCAAACCTGGGTGGATATTTGCTCATGAAGGGCGCAAACATGTACGAAGTGGTTCCGGACTAGGTAAATGACAAGCGAGAGTGCCAATATTTGGCTATCGTCTGTGTATTTTTTTCTACTTAACTATTAGTTAAGTGGGTTTTAAAATGACTTAAGCGTCTAGTAATAAATTGTAAATGTTATGAAAAACATTTTTCTGTTTGAAATTCACACCATTACGTTGTAATTTTGGTTATTTTGGACTGAAAGCATACTTTTGGGTCCATGCCAATTCCACTTTTTATATTCCTGTCTAAACTACTGAAAAATATGTGAAGATAAAAGGCCATGTTATTTGTATTCACTTTGCCGTAAGAAAATAAGTAAGAAAAGTCTCTGGGATTAAATTAATTACTCATATAAGTTCCTTGAATTGTAATAAACAAGCTACAATTCATTGCATTACAAACACACTTTCCACAATTGGTGTCATTTAATACTTTATTTTCTTGTATCCATACAATTAGATATATAGTTATAAGTTTTTATAAATAAATACACAAAACAGTTTTATCCGTTAGATGTAATCCATCCCATCCATCGTGTTTTTATCCCTACATTCTGAATATTCTAAAGTGTATGTCTTGCTTGCAGTGAATGCTTTGTTTCTGTAGTCAGTAGTAACTATTTGAATGACTCTCGTATACGACAATACCAGAGCTGAGAGAGAGCTTAGATCTAAGTGGTTTATCGGATATTAGAGCTATTTTTACCGTGCCTGGAAATCCTATTCGACTATTTACAATATTGCTAGTGAATGTAATGTAATATTTGGCTTATCCTTTTGCTACCCGACTACGCTGCTCATTTAAAACTTATTTCCTACGTACACTTGCGTTTTGGTTAATTCTGGATAAGGGCTAGGATTAAATAGAATAATTGAGATTAATATTACATGCCAATTTTGCAATCGTTTTAGGCTAATCAGTCTAAACAAATCGATGCGAACGCTAATCGCGCAAACGAAAACGAAAATTTATTTAATTTGCTGTCTAAATATTTCATTCTAAAATCAAGCTAGTTCTTAACCTAAGCTGTTTCATTTCCATGGTGCGATTTAGTTCAAGTTTATTGCACATATATTTTAGAGTATGAAGCTGGGAGAGTTAGGCGTAATGCATTGCTCAGGGCAGTCGAGTTAGGTTTTTTGGCCTATTGCACCAAGTCAAGCTGTAGGTTTGTTTGGGTGGGTCGATTTGCATAAACGAAAAGGTTATATGAGCTAAAAGAATATCTTGGCTACCCGTAAGCAGTATTAAGCAGTAGGTTTAAAAGTTATACCTTTTTGAATGAAATATAAGTTTTCAGAAAAGTCAACAAGTAACTAGTCGTAGCCTCGTTTCTCCTTGCGCTTTGACCTTTCAAACAGACGAACATGATTAAAATTATTCATTAACTTTCATTCTACATGATTCAACAAAAAAAACCTAACCACCCTATTGTATGTTTATAACTATGTCGTGTGCTTTGTACTTTCAAAACTGTTGGAGACAGACAGTAGACGTGACAAGAACTAAATAAAGCTGAAAACTTTGCACTTGGCGTTTACCACTAACTATTAGAACTAAACCACAAATAAATATGATAACCATTTCCGCTAAATAGACTGTAGTCATCTTACACCTCCGAGCGAAAAGTAAGGTTGAAGGTTCGCAGCTCCATTGGTTCTAGACTGATCTCGGCCAGAGAACGTATGTGGAAGCTTTCCCTGGACGATTTCTGCTCCGTCCCCGTCAAACTGGTGGCTTCGATTGTATGCAGGCTGAGCCGACCCAGCTGTACATTTCCCAATCCCTTGCTGGACAGCGGACATATGGAATCCAGAGACAATTCACTGCCAGCGCTCACACTGCAATCGAATCCTTGGCGATGCAAAACTAGCAGCGCCGAGGCGGACGGAAACAGTTGCAGCTCCGGATCGGATAGGGTGCGCAGGGTGGTCAGGTGCACGTCACAGGGCAGCGGTCCCTTAGGCAAAAGCCTGACCAAAGGCAGCAATGCAGAGGCCAGTTCTGGCTGCTCCAGATTGCTTACAAAGTACAGATTCGGCGGGTAACGCAAGGCATTTGCCAGGTGCTGAGCCTGCTGACTGAGTACCTTGTAGCTCGGTGGCTGAGTCACATGCTGACCACCCGGGAGGTCCTCCACAAGCAGCCAGAACTTGTGCCGCGTCAGACGGCTGTCCACGACGCCTTCGCCCATTCCCCGATAATCGTCGTACAGTGTACGCCGATCCAGCATTACCTCCAGCTGTCCAGGCTCATAGCTGGCCGCTCCTTGGGCATGAGTGGTCAACAGGGTGAGGCGAACGCGACTGTCCTGAATAAAAGCGCCCGAGGTTATCGGGAAGTAGTTGCCCTCGATGCCAATTGCCGGCACTTTGATACGTCTAAAAGTGTGGAGGACAGAATTAGAAAATGTTTTTCTTTTCCTAAGTTTCTCGACTCACTCATGATACTGGAAACCGTTCTGATCGCTGTAAAAGACGGGAAGCTCCGGCATGGTAGCCGCATCGGCTGGTTCCTTAAGCGGATCCCGCGGCATCGGAACTTGAGCTATGTTATCTATATTGGTGACAAATCGCATGAATAGTTCCGTCTCGCGATTCTTGGGTGGCGGTTCGAAGTCTATATCATTTTCAACATATATCGCTGCATCCAGGTGAGTTCTCGTGTTAAAGATGCGCACCGTGTGCGCCAAAAAGGGTCCATAAATGACAGTCACATCACTGGCTATTGGACCCGAGGTGATAATGATGCGCATGTCCGTATAGCCCTCTAGCACTTCCTTCTCGGCCTCACTCTGTTCAGGATCGGTCTTGAAGAGATATGCACCAGAGTGGAACTGGGCGCTGCGGTAAGCGGCAAACTTGATGTTGCATTGAAGCGGCTTGAGCAACTCCTTCTTCTGGTTCTTACGCGTGATGGTCTTCAGAAAACCGCTCTTCTCGTCGAACAGCAATCGCATGTGAGGATTCTCCAACTGTATATCGCCTGTGTAATACTCGTAATTTTAACTCTTTTAATTTATTTATTTTAATAGAAACTCACCCGCTGGCTTGGCACGCGCCTCAAAAACTGGAGCCGGTGAGGATTCTGCTTCTTCAGCTGGACTCACTGCTGCTGGTTGCGATTCTGTGCAATCGTCACAGTAGATAGTTGCTATATTTCGCTTGAAGTTGACCTCATCCACCTGGACCCGATAAGTGCTCAGGGATAAAGGTTCCAGCTCCGCCACGAACATCACTTCGAACTGGCGCGTCGAGGTGCGAATGCGACCCACAGTGCCAGATACGGATGTGCCCAGACCCTGTTCGTAGGTATCCGTGATATTCCACACTGGATTGATCTGGATGTGATTCAATTCTACACCCTTGTCGTTAAGTATCTTTACATTGGGATGTTGGACGCGTAGCGTGACGACTTCCAACCGCTTTTGAGCCAGCGAATTGTACAAGACAAAGCTGCCTATCGAACCGATGGAAACTGACCCGCCGGCTCCGCCTTCTCCCGCCGGAACAGTGGGCGTCGACTCGTCCCCGTTTGCCATTTGGATGGGCATCTTGCGCGGCAGCTTGTTGAAGTTATCCCGCTCAAATTCACTGAGCAAGAAACCGTGATGTCGAGGCTGACCCTTTTGAAGAAGAAGCTCTAGGCAGGATTCCTGCATCTTCACCATGTTCTGGGTGCTCTCAAACAGGCGCATTGCATAATCCCTCATTACAGCTGCCTTGGATGTACCAGTAATAGCATCGTGGTGCTGGAACAGCCCCAAATTCCGCCTTGCATTAATGATAAGCTCGTAGTTCTTCTCGTATATCTTAATCGCGTTCTCGCGCTTCGCTTGACGAGCAGTGTTGTAAGCCAGGGTGAAGACAATTTCTGCAGATCGCAGCTGATGCTCCAGCTCTGAGCTCAGAAGCTTGTAGAACGGTCGCGTGGTGAAGTAGCCTGACCAGTATGCCGGTCTGCCCTCCGAAAAAATATCGGAATAGACAAAAAAGTCACCCTTAAAGGTGGGAAATCCTGGGGTGCGATCCTTCATGCGCTCCTTGATGGCCTCGAAATAATCACTGGGAGTGCCAAATCGGATATCAGCATTGTAAAGCCTTCGATTGGCCATGATGTGATCAATGAGCTTCTTGTAGTTCTGGTACTGCTGATCCACCTCGCGATCCTTGTTGTATCGGAAGTCATCGCCCACTGGAATGAGGGCCACGTTATGCGGAAACAACGAGGCAGTCCTGGCGTATTGCTCCAGCAGCAACTGCGCTTTTGACTCTAGATTGTCGTCTGTGATGAACTGTGCCTTAACGGAGTACTCGGTGTACTCGCCCGGAATTTTGCGGAAGTCAAAGTTTAGACAGATGAAAGGATGTGGGCCACACGATCCCTTAATTGAGTATATATCGAAGGGCATGTTGTGAGTGAGTAGGCTACCAGTTGCACTATCCTTGTCTTTTCTACTTCTCCAATAGGGTTTCCAGATGAAGTCACCTGACTGCTGTCGTGCAAACCACTGCTTCCAGGCGTAATGAATCCGCTGGATGATGGTTCCCTCGAAATTCGCTCCGGACAGCAGATAGGGCACAGTGCTGCCATGACCGAATGGATCTATGGACCAGCCCACTTTCGGTGTGACATTCAGATTGTTTTTAAGCCACTGATGGCCCTCGATGAGCTGATCTAACATCGGATAGATGTGGACATTCGCCTCATCCGTCATCACCCATCCACCGGTGGTGATTTCAATGCGACCAGCGTCGATCAAACGCTTTAGTGCTCGCTGTTTGGTGGGATGCGCCTGATCCCACCACAGCTGAAGGAAACTGATCTCCGACCAAATGAACGTCATGTCTGTGTATTCCTGCATCTTGGTCACTAGAAGGTTAAGGATTTGCCGGGAATCCGATTGGAAGTAGTTCGTAAACGTCTTTAGCCAGCCAGGATCATTATGGGAGTGCGGAACCACTATGATCTTCAGTGGAGGGCGCTGTTTGTCCTTCTTCTGCGCATCAAATCGCTCCTCAAAGCCACGATCCCAGTACTCCTTCGATCGCATCCATTCCGGCTGTAAAAAATGTGTTTATTTATGTGTTTCTTATCTTGACTGTGGAGCTTCTTCTTACCTGAAAGTCAAACTTGCTGTGCTCCTCGCTGGCGGTTATGTTCGTATTGCTCTGAATCAGTTCATAGCACTTGTCGCCCCAATTAGTGTTGGTGTACTGCTCCTCTGACTGCACCTCCGGCGATCCCGATGTCTGTCCCGACTTTGTTTCCGAGGATCTCTTTTGGTTTGAGGCGATCACAATGTGCTGCTTCTGTAAGTGGATGTTTGAGGATGAACCTCCTCCGACGCTGAAACCAGTTAGGCCACTAAGTGGTGAACCCCGCAATGCCGCCGATGGGGCACCCGTCTCGGAAATGGGCGTTGGATTCGGCTGGCCAATGGAGATGTAGTAGAGGCAGAGCAGGATCGTTACGAACGCCGATAGCAGGCCGATGCAGCGTGCCGATCCGCGGCGAAAGAGCTTGAACGACATCCTCGTCAGTGGACTGCGTTTGCTTGTCCCCGGCAGGGATTCCCCAGAAAGATCTCGCTGCTGGGCTTCTTTACTTGGAATGTTTTCTACATCTGAAACGGTATAACAAGATTTATTATATGTAGATAGCCCATGGGAAGAAAATATTTTGAAATTCCATGATGTTTTAAAAGGTCTCTGCTTTAATCCAAAATAACTAGAATTTAAGCCGATTATACATGCACAAAACGTTAAAAATATGTAGCTTCCCACACATTTAGACCAAGCTGAATCCTGCTTCTGATTTTATTTTCCCCTCACTAATCCTGTCTGGGCTGTCCTTGCCGCAAGAGTGTTTGAATATTTTATACGGAAGAGGGCAGGAAGTTTAGTGGAGAATTTAATTAAACCATAACAAGTGCGAAGAAGGGGAAAGAGTGCCTGGGGCCTGGTGTAAGGAATACATAAATGCTTGTCAGGAATAAGTAAAATTCTAGGCAAGGTGCTTGTATGCCTCTTAACTTCAAGCAAGGAAATGTGAAATTGAAAGGAATAGATAAAGAAATAACACACCTCTGGCCAACTTTTAGTTAATTGTCAAACCCAAAGAAATTTCAGCTTGATAAATGTAGAAATCTATAATCCTCTATGATTCGTGATTAAGTTCAGAGTTCAGCACAGAAACGTCAGCATTTCCGGATTGCCCAGCTACGCAAGTCAAACTTACGAAACGAACTATGCAAACTGAAAACTCAATCAAAAACTCTTCACATGCTCGCAGAACTTTTTGCAATGATGAAATTATTGCATAGTTTGCCACAAACTTTCTCCACCGTAATGGAGCTATGAACTCCGGACAATCCATGGCCAACCCATTGCGGGCAAATAAATTAATGGCCCACAAATGAGAGACAAAAAGGCATGTTGAACAAGTTAGCAATTTCCACAGCTGCACATGATTTATTCACTTTTATTTGCCATTCTCCATAATTTAGGTTTTTATTTCAGTTCGACACGCAGAGAAAAACATGATCTCCTGCCAACTGAACGTTGAATTCAATTTAATTAAAATTTAAAAGCATTTAAGGTCCAACGAGCAGCAGCATCGTTGCATCCATTCAAATGTACCACTGGACTAAAAAGGGGTCCTATGCTAATCAGCGGACATTAACTGATGTTGCCACAAGCCACCACCTGTCACCCAACGGAACCACCATGGCCCCCACTCACATAGCCCTCCGCAAACCACTCTTATGGTAATTTAAGCGGTTCCCCTGTCCCGAGAGCCCCATTCATTTCCCCCATTCATTTTTGCTCCACAGAGAAATGTGGCAAGTGTGCTGCAAAAAAAAATATAATAAAAGAACAGAGAAACCAAAGCGTAAGCTCTCTAGAAATGCTCAGATGGGAGAAATTGTTAAAGATTCTGGCTGCTGGGGAAAGCAGCGTTTTGAGATCTCTGCTGATACTGAAAACTTCTCTTCAGCAACAATTCCCAACAAAGTTTGCCTCAATTATTTCAATTAGTCGAATATTTTCACTTCCTTCCGACCAAGGAACTAAATAACTTCCTGCCAAAAGGAAACCAAAGATGGCAAGCGTCAACTGCTCCGGGCAGCTCGTCCTTGACCCCCATCAAAACGTTTCCCAGTAAATTTATTCAGCATAAGTGCACAGGAAAAATTGGAGTCCGTCTAAAGCTTTGTAAACAACATTTTGTTATCTCATTCAGCAAAATGCCTTAAAAAGCGTTTAAAATAAATGAACGGGAAATGTAGACACAACTTAACTGATTAGTTTATAAGTTAATTTAGAATTATAACTTATTTTACATAAATAATGTGCTACCCGTTTCCGTGCCACTATTTTAGAAATACAACGACTTCGCTGCGTGCTGCTGTCATCACGAATTTTGAGAAGAGTTTTCTAGCAAATTTGATTCCATTGCAAATTGCACTTTGTCAACCATTTTGTCAGCTCCGAATGGATGACAACCTTCATCTGGCAGTCAGCACATATAGCTCCTTCGGTTTCCTTTGACGTGTTATCCTTTTTTTCTGTGGCTGCTTTCCGTCACTTTTCTCCTTCTGCCCAATATAATTTCGAATTGGAAAATGACTTTGTTTTGTTTCCTTTTGCCTTAGTTCCTTTCCTGTCTTTTGCTGATTGTGGGTACTCGAGTTTGTGTGATATTCCATCCGTCCCTATTCAACAGAGGACCCAACTCAAAAAGTCAGCTTTACTGATATCCTAGTTCCTTTTCGTCCTTGCCCTTTGCTCTGCTGTTTTCTTTCCCCCTTTTGCGCCCCCATTGACCCCTTGAAATCCCCCTGAAGGAGCTTAATTTCGTTTGGAGTTGCAACTTGAGGCGCCCATGTGAATGCTTTCAATGCAAATGGATATATTTGCCCTGCTGAGTTGGAAAAATCAAGGGTATGTAGGTGGGTATTTTGACTTAACGCATCTTTTGTTATCTTTTCTTTATTTTATTGTTTAATAATTTATTTTATGTTATATATTATTTATATCAATTGTGTGGCTGAAGTAATTATAACCCTACACTTCAAGGGGTATCTAATAGCCTAATCCCCTGATATACATTGTGTCTGTGATGTATTGGTTGGCTCGGTTGGTATTCTTTATGCGCCTGCCAACCAAATTTGTAGTTTTTGTGTATGGAAAACTTTTCTGAAAGCCCTACGAATCAATTGTAAACTTTGCTGTTAGCTATTTTCCTCTTTTTATAGGTGGAAGTCGAACTTTTGTATCGCTGTTATTCAATTTCATAATAATTTTCAAATCGAATTTTAGTTTACAAACTTTTCTACAATTGAAAAGGGAAACAAATTAGTCGCTTTTTGGCATTATTTATGTTGGAAAATAATCACGATCACGACACCTTTTAAATGGCATTTCCTTTTAATTAAAAGTTTCTAGCAAAAAATTAATTGAAAGTCACTGCAATCACCTAAGAAAGCCGAAAAAGAAGGCCAAGAAAGAGGACAGAAGGCAGAGCTGTAAACGCAAACTCAGTTAAAAAATGGTGAACGTTGGAGGCCAAAAACGACAAGAACAAAAACAATAGTTTGCATAAATGGCACGGAAATTGCAGCTGCAGCTGAAGGCAAAAAAAAAGAGGGCCTCAACAATCTGAAATGGTTTGAAAACTGTTTTCTTAGCGGCAGACGCAAAAAGTTCCCCCAAAAAACAGCCAAGAAAAAACGTAAAGAGAAAATAAAGCTGAACAAGTCCAAGTTTATATACCCTTCTATAGCCTATAGAAATGAATAGTAACCAAGTTATATGGTTTACAACAGAGCATAGAGCAACACCTCGGAAGTTAGTAGTTGCACAAAGATATTGGCTGTTAGCAAACCTTTATCTTTATCTAAAATTAAGTTCTGCATTTATAAAGCCTTTTAGAACTGTAAAATGTTGCCTAAAACTTAACCAAAGTATACTAAAACAAATTTCAACTCTGACTTTGGACTTTGGGAGTGGCAGCTGAGATTCGCTCTGCTCCTCCTTTGCCAATGTCAGAGAAATGGGCAATGAGAGCCACGCCAAAGGGGCAAGGAGTCTAGCAAGGTCCCAGAACTTTACAAAGAGTTCATGCTTTTTTAATTAAAGAAACTAACGTTGCACCAAAGCGACCGAGGGGGCACACAGAGGGTGAACAAGCAGTTATGGCAATTTTCCGGAGCAGATGAGCATGAGTAATGCGCCGGTTAAGCCGCCAGTAGAGCGTGTGGGCTTGGCATGTGCCCACCATATAATCATATGAGACTCAAAAGAAACAAGTCCAAAAAATAACTTCAGACCATCCGGGCCAAGTTGGGCCAAACTATAGCAGGTCATTAGCATAGTCAGCGAGGCAAAAAACCAAAAGCAGGCCTACAAATGATGAGTAGTTTCGGGTGGGGGCGACATATGGAGGGCAATTACCAGAGGAAGTTGTCAAGATCTAGCTTAAGATTACTGTAATCAAGATTGCTCCACTTTTCATTTCACATCTTATAATTGCATTTTAACCATCAAAAGACGCATAGCAGTAAATTGTGGGTGTACTTTGAATCCATTGTTGCAATAAGCCATATTTAGATTAAAATTTATGGAAAGCAATTACCTTTCCCTACATGCAATAATGTAAATAGAGTGTTACAACCATCAATTACTTATATACTTGGTATGTATTACTTTAATGTTAGGATGAGAAACCTAGCATGTGTTCTACATTTTTCCCAACATAATCTAATAATTTTTGTTATTCTTTTTAATTTTTTTAAGTTTGTACCTGCACACGACACACAAAAATATTACCCTTGTGTTAGAAATCTCATTAAAACCTACCCGTTGCTTTCATCTTAAGATTTACGCGTTTCTATTTTATGTTATGTCCCACAACCCATAAAACAAAGTCGCTCCCCACATATCACACCTTTTGCGACTTACCCACAATTGAGTAAATGGAACCAAAATAAAAAAATTAGAAAAAAGCACTCCCGCTGCTGAAGGGCCCCCTGTTAATGGCAAGCCAACGAAGCGAACGAGGAAATTTTTTAGGGGACCGAGGAGCATGGAGCATGTATACATACACTACATGTGGGTACATAGCTATGTAACTATGGACTTGATGCCGTTAGACAAGCAGAACTTTGGAGCTAGCCCGTCGAATTCACAGTTACTCACTTATGCAGCGACGCCATACGTGACATATGGACCAAGGTACAAAATAAAAAAAAAAACATTACAGTCTGTGCCCATAAACTTGGCCAAAAGCACGGCCAGTCCGAACCATATATGGATTGCCTGGCGCGGTGGGAGGGAAAAACCAGCGGGGGTAGCGCCAATGTTGATTAAATGTCAACAGGAAAAAACAATATACGAGTGGAGCTATATGCGGTACTGGAGCATACGGTATAACCACATCCATACCGATGGGTTTCCATGATTCCCACAGGAATTGAGACCCAGCAATGGTGAGAGGAGAAAGTTGCTCCTCGATCGCTATGGTTTATGGTTGATTTCCTCTAGCGGTTTCGGTTATTAAGCAATCAAAACTCATTTGCTAATATCTGCAATTGATTGGGATAAAAGTGGTCCACACACAGAGATAAATAGAGAGCTCTTCCGTTACAGGCACTTGAACACTAATCAAATAGACCACGGTACATTTTGCCAATTAGGTGAGTCCAATTGATTTGCCACTAATTAATGGAATCTCTATGCCAGCCTACACGGCGCCATTCGGATTATTGCAAATAATTTAAAATTACCCTGATTTTGAAGCTAAAAGTGTATGCAGAATGACTGAAATGCAGCCTTTCTCTTTTATGACTTTGATGCTTTTAAAGTTGTATTTACTATGTTTGCTTCATGCTAGGAAAACATATGATTTATTAGAGTGTTAAAAACCCAATTACTATTCATTTTAAACTTTATATATGCCAACAGAAATTCCTAGATTTACTTAAGTAGCTACTTTCTGAGTTTCCTTAAAGCGACCATTTCAACAATTTATGATTCCATTTGGTAGGGGTTCCCCTATTTGTTTATTGATATGGCTTGGACAAAGCTTAACGCCAAAAGCTATAAAATGCTTTAGATGCTGACAAAGCACAAGTCGCCTCATAAAATGTGCGTCTTTTTTTCCCGGAACGTGAGACTTCTTACATTGTGCGGAAGGTTTGTTGGCGTTTGAGTTGGTCTGGTTTTTGCATTGTTTGGCGAAAAGTACGCAGAGGAAAATGAAATGAAAATTAATTCTTGTTTTTGTTTTCCATTTTTTTCACGCAAGACCAAGACAAAAGGAAAATGGGCAGGGGTCTTGGGGAGCACTGCGAACAATAACAACGTTTATGGCTTTGATTATGAAATTTTCCGTTTCAATTTCATGGAGCTAAACGGTGGGAAAAGACTCACTCCCCTAGATTGTAATGCATATAAAAGCAGGTTTACAGTTACCGATCGCTTCCATATAAGTAAAAATGACTTAGGTCCTCATACGGTGGGAACTTTGAGTGAATTGGAACCTCTCAAGCGTTTTGACACCATTCGCTGCCCAAAGATCCAGATACTAGACTGATGTGAAGTGGGTCTCTTGTCTCCTTTCTGTTTACCTAACGAAATAAAAGTTCTGACTCACTGTTGGTTTAAAGTGTTAACTAATTGCGGGCTTGAAGGTAATGAGGGCTCCAAAGCGGATTTCCTTCGAATTACGAAGAATATCTTAGGCAGTTTAAGAGCCCCAGACCGTTTTATACATTTTTTGGTTGAAAACATATATATATAATATATAATAGGGTTTATTACTTTGCCTCTTAATTGTTATATATGCCAACATGTTTTAAATACTACTAATTCAGTAGGAAGTAAGAATGAAATCTATGTTGGCAGAATATGTGCTCATAATGAAATAAATAAATAAATACTTCACACAAATCGACGTTTATGGTTACTACGAATTTGCAATCGGAAATGCATTCCGCTTTTTTGTAACCATTTTTGCTACGATGTACAAATTTTCAGCTTGTGATAATATTAATTAGCTCACATAAACAACAACATAATTTATGGTGCTGTTTATATATGGTCTTTTATTTCGTAATTGTCAAAGCCAATTAAAAGGTGTTTGAAATAATGGCTGCAAGCAATTTCCAAATTGAAAACGCATTCATAAATTATTAATTGTTAAATGGTAGAGAATAGACTGTTAGAATCTATTGCTTTGTTTGCCAAGTTAAATATGGAAGCGAATGACATTTTCTGAAACTTCAGTGGCTGTATTTTCACTCACGTATCAATTGTTGCCTTCTACCAACAGATTTCCAAACGAATTCCATGGCGACTGGTTAGCAAAACCGTTTTCAATGTCCAACGATGATTGGCCAAAGATGACCATTTAAGCCCAGAGCGGGTTCTGCACTATTTGGCAAAACACTATACCGCCAGCTTATTACCACGCCCGCCAACCAAGTGTAACAACTGTGGCCAAAGCCGAATGACACATGGCCAACAGCAAGCCGTGGCTAACTGGGATAAGTCCGATAATAATGGAACATCCATCCGGAACATCCATCAGCGACGTGTTCCATACGTTTCGGCCACTTCATGGCGCACTCCCCGCTTGTTTTTCTTCACGCATCATTAGCAGCCGCCTGGTACTAATTTGTACATATATGTATATATTATATACGGTGTTCCAGGCAGATCACCATCGACATCGAATGATTACTTTGTGCGAGTCGGTTTATGCGGTAAAGCGATACGATTGCATGATGACATGACATCGCAATAACCAAAAACCTGCCACCGGAAAATTGACAGCACTAGCACGCCATCCGCCAACCAACGTGGATGGGGGACATTTGAGTATGAGCTAATGGAAATAAATAATAACCGCATGGAGTTGTAGTCGAAGTCGGACTTCCATAAGTTGCCATCCGACTCTTGTCTTTGTGGGGGTCGCGTTTGATTCAGCTAATTTTAGTGGCACGAAACCGGGAAAATACACTTATCGTGGCAATCGATACACTTGCTGTCTTTAGTGACAAGCATCCAGGAAATTGAAGGGGGAATGATCCCCAGCTTGTGGCAGAAACCTGAAACTTAGGGCATCAACTCTTAGTTTCTGTTCCTGGAATGATGAAGATATTCAATGCGATGTGAAAAATATGCATTACAAACAAATTCTGATTAAGATGTGTGGTTTTATTTAATAGGAAATTTGCTACGAGTTATAGGAATTGCAAGATAGCTAATCTCAATAAAATGAAATGCTGCATAATTAATGTACAAGTTTGATAACACTTTCAAAAATCAGTATCTCTTTTAATGATATTTATATATTGCAAATAGCTTCACGTCTCGTATTAATATAGCATAAAAGCAAGCCAATGAGATATGAATTAGCAGCATGAATCACCTAAGAAACCGCAAGAAACGCATTTTGCAATGGCGTCCCAACATTTCTCATTGTTAGACCTTAAAATAAACTGCAATTTACATGTCTATTACATAAACTTACATTACCAACTTACACACGAATCGGGATGGCAAAAAGTCCTTTCGTCCTGGCGCGGAACAAGGACAAAACACATAAATCAGCGCCTGCACACAAACACAGACACACAACCAAGCGGACACTCGCAAAACGCAGGGCTAAAAGTTTTCCCTTGTTTCACACAATGCTGCAAGCAAAAGGATGCGAAAAGTTTCCACGTTTTTCTCGCTTAATTTAAATGAATGCACGTCGGATTGAATCCTTTATTGGCTCTGAATGGAATACTCGTAATTAGAGACAAAGCTACAAAGCCATTGTTGACCTTTCACTCTGATTTGCTCTAGCAATCCCCCATCCGCCAGGCTTCCCCCTCAATTTATTTGTATTTTTCCACTCGCGTTGTCCTTGCCGGCGAGAAAAGGATCGAATCGAACAGCTGTCTGCAGGAGCTCAGCGACGCACCCACTGCCAGCGACCGAAAGCAACTGAGCCGCGAAACGAGGAGCCACAGGAATCGTGGCATCGTGGAATCTCCTTTCCGCCGGAGCTCGGCTTGTGTTCGGGTCGCCTCGGCTCGTTGGCAGCCGGCAATTGCAGCAGCACCAGCCACACTTCCCCCGCCCTCAGGTGGAGGTCCCTTCACCAGTGATGCGCACTTGGACATATTAAAAATAAAAAAACATTAAAGGCCGGTAGATATCATGGTTGAAAAGATAAGAGCAAATCCATTCTTTTCTCAGCTACAAAGATATTTCTAAAAGTAAAAATTTGTCGGGTTTTAAAAGCATTTAATTTCTGGAAATAATTTGTTATATGGGGCCACCAAAAATGTGAGCGGATTTAGCGTTGATAAGAAACCAGACATCAAATATCCAACTGTATATTTTTTAATAAAGCGTCTGTATAACTTTTTTTTCTGCTATAACAGGAATGCTAAACCATTTTATTGAAGTACACAACACGATTGAAATGTAAAACAAAATAGTAAAGTAATATAACCAAAATGAAATTTTTGTAGGTATTTTTAAAGATTTATCTCAGCTACTTTTTAATATGCCATAAAGGGCATCCCCAGAACGACGGTTGCGATCTATTCATGCAAGTTGTTGCTGGCTGCGTTCTGTTGGCCAGTTTTGGCCTTAGTATTTGCTTTGTCGGCGCCATCAACATCAGCGCCATGTAGTCACCGCCCCTCACCTGTAAACCCCTCCCCTGCACCAGGTTACTCCCTTCGAGGGCCTTGGAGTGCGAAGGTGTTCGCCACATCGCCCCTTTTTCTCATGTCGTCTTGGAGCAGCAGCTGGAATTAGTTTTGTTTTACAACTGGGTGAGGTGGGAAGCATCAACTGGGATTCCCGATGGCTCCTCCTGTTTGTCAAAGGAGGGAATTGCTTTGGGTTGTTGCTTTTTTCTCAAGTGTTGACAGCTGTACTTATTAATTATTTCTGTTGCTTCTTGCGATTATTTGAGAAAGAAATCCACACTGAATGGAAAAGGTGATGACTTGTAGGAAAAAATTTAAGTATGGTTTCCTTGCATGATTAAATCTATTTTGCTGTTATAACAATATCGTATTTAGACTGTGAGATACTTTTCTGCTATCTTTGCCTTTATAAGCTGTTCTTTTCAACCACTTTCACAGCTCCTAAAAAAAGTTATTTTGTGTGCAGCTCGTTTACACCTTCTTTTATAGCACTTCAGTTTGCACATAATATTCTTTATTTGTTGTAAAGTTCTTGAACGTCTTTGGCTATTGGCGAAGCCATTTTGGTTCCTTTACTGCCACAACGTGGAAATCTTTACTTTGGCATTAATCTGCGAACTCATTTACGGAGCTTGTTCCTGTCCAGAAGTGGGATCAGGAAATGTAAGAGCACTTCGTTCGCTAAATCCTTACTTCTAATGCATATGAACGTCATTTAAATGACTCAAAAGGCGATTCAAATGGTGATTAGTCATTAATCATTAATGTTATGTTGAAATTTATATTCAGTTAAACTTCATAATTATGGTTTATATTATGTATGGGAATTCTTTAAAATTGGCATTGCAAAATGAGTATCCCAAGCAAGGTAACTGCACGTAGTTTGCGAATGTTAATTACTAAATTTGTGTTAATTTATATTAATTAGTATTAATGACAGAAGCTACTTTACATCTAATTACATCCTGCTCCTGCTATAATTAGGGAACATTCTAGTCTGCTTAGATTAATGGAATCTCGACTGGTTTTTTGGTAATTTGAAATTTTCCGCTTGTGGAGCTAATGAATGTCAATAGTTTCAGTTACAAATCTTGGAATATAAGTTTTGTTCAGCCTCCGGAGAGGACTCACCCTCGACGGACTTTCAGCACTTTTTCTCAGCCGGCTGCCAGCGAGCAATTAACTTTGAAAAATGCCTGGAAACAAGTGGCAGAAGGAACCGGAGCCGGAGCAGGAGTAGAAGCAGGATAAAGCCAGGAGGCCAGGTCCCTGATGGCTGGTGAGTGATGGCGGATGGGTGGATGGATGAAGTGGGAAGAAGTGAGGAGAGTGCATCTCGAGTGGCTGACTTGGCTGGTAGCTTCAAGTGGCGAATAAGCTCTCCTAAACGGGACAAGACAAAGGAACCCGACCAGAACACTGGAGAATACTCCTCCAGCCCAGTAACTTCCAGCCGTTTTAGTTGGAAAAAATGGGGGGTGTTGTGGGGCAGAAGGTCGTTGTTTATCGATTGCCAAGTAAAGCAGCCATAAAAGGGAGCACCGAGACCGAGGAATGGCGAACAAAACAGAGACGGAAAGAGAGCAATCGAGAATTGGCACAGGCCCTTGAAAAAGTTGTTGGCACTGCCTGTTGTTTTCTTCAGTGTTCAGCGTTCAGTCCTCTGTTTGTTGTCTTGTTGTTTGTTGCCGAGCATAAGCCCACGCAAATAAGACGGCGACGACCGACAAACGACAACGAAGATGGGCCACAAAGACGATGATGATAATTATGATGATGGCCACGGCGAGCGGAACAAGTGCAAGTGAAGGCATTAGCAGGAGATGCGGGACCAAGGTTCTTAAATTAAGATCAAAGTCTGGCAATCACTAATCGTTTACCAACCAAAAAGCGTTATCTCAAAGAATTTCTCATAGCTTTATGGCCTAATTAAAGTTCATATATCCCAAAAACAGCTGAATACTTATGTCGCTAGAGGCGAAATACTCGTACTAGAGATATTAACAACTATTTTCTGAAAATTTCGTTTTAGAAGGACAATAAAAACTGATTTATTTCATGCTATATCCATAACAATCACATCGAATAGCCTCATCTCAGTTTGTTATGATTAAAGATTAAATTCAATTAACAAATCTGATAAAAATCTTCGATCCTGAAATATAACCAGGTATTATTTTCCCGCTGACAAATAATTCGTTTTTGTTCATACAGATTAAACTGCAGATAGCCGTCTGCAAAGTTTTAATTCGCTGTGTATATTGATAACTTTGTTCCAGCACCTCCGCATAAAAGTTTAATTCTGAATGGATCCCAACATCTGCTTGTTGAACCTCCCGAAGCCCTTTATTGTGGCCCCCATCCCCTGGCCAATCCCCTTTTGCATTTACGGCCTGCCAAATGGCCATCTGGCAGCCGGTGGCCAAGCGATTGAGGGCAGAGATTCGGACTCGGAGGAATGGCAGAACGGCAGACGGAACGTTGTCAAGCATCGAAAATCCCGACCAGACTGCGGGGCCTGGACTCATTGAACCACAAGATGAATACAAAGATGCCAAATCAACTCGAACGAGTTTCTGCGGCCTGCAGTGCTCATTGGTGGTGGTGGTAGTGGTGGTTATGGTGGTGATGGTGGCTCCTTTCCCCCACTTGTCCACTTGGTCCACAGTGTTCGGTTTTCGGGTCAATTGCATCCTACCGGCTTGTTGGCAGCACTCGAAGCCAAAGCGACATTTGAGTTTTGCACTCGGCCTAAACGTGCAACAACGACGACGAGGCTGCTCCAATGGAAGCCCCATTCCGGCCAAGTGCGTGCAACGTTTGTCAAATTGCCAGTTGCCGTCGAGAGTGCAGTGTTGTTTTCCCGTTTCAAGACCCAAATTCCCCATCCTTGCTATATAGCGCCCCAATGGCCCCCAACGACGGTTGACAAAACCAGGCTTCGGTGGCAGCAACAATAACATTAACAACCGCAACATTTGTAATGGAAATTCCTGCATTAAAATCTCTTTTATTGTTTTCGTTCATACACTTCAAATGAGGTTATGGGGAATTTTTCATTGCATAGAAAAATTTACGATTTAATAATAAGTTACTCATCGAACGGTATATAAATGGATCGTATTTGCAGTTGCAATTTAGAACCTGTTTCAAAATGTAAAACTTGTTTGTTATGCCATTAAGTTTATATACATACATTCTTATACATTTTTGCTGCAAGTAATCTAGACTCTCTGAATAAAATTGATTAAACCACATACAAAAAAATAATTCGTTATTTGTAAGTTATATATTTAATCATATAGACTTCCTTCAAGAAAATAAACCTTAATGTCCTAATAAAGGTAGGCAAAACTTATCCAACAATTAAAACATGTTTGAGAAGTGCCAGCTAGAGTAACCAAAGTTCCAAAACACCCCAGAACTTGGCTCTTCTTCCGGACTTTTTGTTGGTTTAATTTTTTGTGGTTGGTATTTGATTCTCTTTTTTTGCCAGCTGTTGAGTGCAAGTGCCACTGGCTTTGTTGCTGCTATTGGTGTTTTGGCCGGTTTTTTGTTGCTTTTGTAGCTGCAGTAACTGTTGCGGTTCCGTCAACGTCATCATCATCCCCGGTCGTTTAGAGCACCCCGGGGAAGTCAATGAACCTGCCTGCCAGGCCTCTAATATCGAGAGCCCAAACCAAATCCCTTTAGATGCATGGGCAACCTGGCCACTTGACCATCGACGACGGGGCCTGGCTTTCAATTTCGGGTCGTTACATTTGATGACAGATCGATTGTTATGATTATGGGAGAATTTATGCCCGCTGCAGCTATTCCCTGCCAGTGAAATGGGATGTCCATGCAAATGAGGCGGCTGATTCTTGAAAAGCTACGAGCTAATGTCGAAAAGTTGCAAATTAGCAAAAAACGATCTAAGGCGAATAGAGTCACCATGAGAACCTGGGTACTGGAATTCCAGTTTTATGTTTGTTCAAAGTCAGATCCTAATCGAAAAGTTAGTGTGGATAACTTAATTCGACGCGACACGCAAAGAAATAAAATCTCTCTCAAAATGGATTTACTACCTGTACAAAAAAGGTAATGGGTTTTCTTAAGAATTGAGTAAGTCCATTAAAGTAGTGAGAATAATAAATTGCAATCAGTATACGAATTCGAAAGCAGAAAATCGTTTGTGATGTGATTTTCTAATCTATTGTTATTTCCCCCAGTAACATTTTGATTATAATGGATTATCATCGTTTACTGTTCTCGTTTTGTTTATATTATTTATTGGATTTATTATATTTACTGCTAACAATATCATCATAGTTTTACTCTGAGTTAAATACAACCGAGACACTTAGTAGCTCAATTAAAGGGCTGAATACTACCATAAAATGTTCCCGTTTATTCAAAAAATTAACATAATACTGACAAATTAAAGTAAAAGCAAAGTGGGCTAAGTGAATTCAAAAGCGACTGAGACCAATGGCTTCTAATTACCACATAACTGCTACAGAAATAACAGGCGTGCGAAAACCCAATAGTGGAAACAAACAGCAAACAGGGGACCCCAAAAACCAGATAGTTGGATAAGAAGGGGGCTCCAAGGTGGGGATGGCGATGGGAATGGGGATAAAAAGAGTAGAGTAGTAAGCGCCCGTTGAGCGAGAAAAGTGAAACGGACACCGCAACAATGAAAAAATCAATTTAAATTGAATTATACAATGCCAGCACTCGGCGAACACAAATAAAAGCGAATTGCATGGCACAACAAAAGTGGAAATGAAACCAAAACGAGATGCCTAAACGGGTTTGGCGTGCCCCCCATTAAAGATATGAGCTATGTTATAATATGGTATGGTACATAAAAGATGAAACGATTCTCAATGAATGGTGGGCCTAAGCTGAGAATCGAGGAATCGAGTAGGGTTAAATAAAGATGAGCTGCATAAATTAAAGACAAGACGCCTGCCTGTCCATTATTTTTCCTCCTCTGCCGTTTGCAATTTTGTAACACTTTGTCTGCTCCGATTCGCATGCTGGTTTTATTTATAACCAATCCCATTGCGAATCGAGTGCAGAATCGGTCTAGACGGATAACTTAATTGGGATCCCCGAGCTCTGAAAGACACCCAATTTCCTTTGTTCGAGACTGAGAAATCCGGTTTTCCGCTTCCTTTTTCTTTTGGTCAGGATAAACAGACGCTTCTTGGAGGGTGGTTTATATATATATAATCAATATAGCAAGTGCCGCAAATCGCCGCTTTCGATTTCTTACCTTTTGTGGAACGCGGCTTTTGTTTATAACTTTTCGGTTTCCATCAAACTCCCACGCACACACACATGTCCACGCGATACAGTTACAATTTTGCCGTAATCCTTGACACACCACACACACACGGGCACTTTACACCCGCGCAAAAACAATTACAATCGAAGACAACGGGACATAAAAAATGTGCTTTATTGGTCGAATTGATTCGATGGCTCAAAGCTTAAGCAACGCTTGATTATCTCGAGGATTACCGCGTCGTCGCGAATCAATAAAATGCCGCAATGCGTCCTAGCGGCAATGTTGTTAGGACTAAAACACTCAAAAAGCATCCGCTCCACATCCGAACGATTTGAAAATATATCGACTACTGGCCGTTGGTTTGGTCGTAAGTGATTTCTAGTACATTTTTGCGTTTGTAATTTTTGTGGTATTTTTCTGCGGTCACATTAGAGCGCCAAGGCGGCGGAAGAGGGAAACTTTGATTGCAGTTTTTAATGAAAATTTTATAATTTTTTGGATTTTTTGCTTAATAATATAAGGTCGTTTGCTGGAGGTATTATTATACTTCCTATTATAAGCTTATCACTTGGTGAACATTTTTTTTTGTAAACAAAACTAATTACTTTTTGTTCTGTGGTAACCACTTTGTGAACTACAGTAAAATAAAAAATAAGTGTAGTTTGCATAGAACAAAATTAAAGCATCGTTTAAAAAAAAGCCTATAATAACTTTAAAACAGTTTCCTTAAGAGTATTTTAAACACAAATCATTGAAATTCATAAATTTGGCGCTCTATGCTTAACTTGCTTCTTCTGTCTCGTTCACTCAAATCTATTCGATATCACTCGATAAATCCCAAAAGACTGATTTACTCAAACATTAGTGAAATTAAGGGAATCCTTTGATACAAAAATACCTTCGAACTTTCGTATCAACAGATGAAATATAATTAAGGAATAAACACAACATTATTTAGTATATGCCAGTAAATTCGATTGCTATCGGTAACGTTTATTTGCAGTGCCAACTATCGGTAACGTTCAATTGCAGGAATACGAGCAACATTTGATTGGAATTGCTATTTAAATTTCCCAGTTCTCCGCCGCCTAATCCTCGTCGGAGTTATCACCCGTAGTGGAATTTACGAGTCGAATCATCATCCGCGAGCTTTTCGTTTTGTCGGTCCCGGTACGCCAGTTCATCCAGATAATGGCTGGACTTGCTCTCTGGTGGACACCAAGTTCTCCGTTCAGATTGGACTGTGTGCAGAGATCGAACCACCAGCCACCGCCGTAATCCTCGGCACAGGTGTAACCTGCTGATTTCGCGGCGCTCCTGCGCCGATCGTAGGTGCTAAAATCCATCCGATTGTTCTGCTCCAGAGCATCCGGCAGCGAACCACGAAATTCGCCATCCACCGAGAGCTGATAGTTGTAACTCTCACTGTCCAGCCAGAAGAGTGGATACTCCGCCCAATCCAGCGGTGCCCCCTCCTCCTGCAGCTCCACTCTCAGTTCATGATCGTCGCGGTAGAGAATCTTGTGCGTGAACTCGTTGCCAAACCAGAAATCTCGGGACAAATTACCGAAACCCGCGCGATACTCATCCCAGCTGCGATTAAAGTTCTCGGGTGGATTAGGATCGAAGGAGCCACCTCTACTCTGAATCACTGTCCAGGCGGGTCCGTCGGTGGCAAAGGCGCAATAGCGCTCGTGCAAATCACGCTGGACTTCATTGCGCTCCGGAACCAGAAACCTATAGACGCCATCCACCCGGACATCTGTATCCAGTTCATGGCAATCCGATTTGGCGGGCTGGTAAAAATCTGGAAAGTATCACCGGGTGAGTCGATGGACTTGAAGATTGTTAGAAGTTAGGAGATTAAGTATATCAACTTGCCCACTTTTGGCTCGTCCTTATCTTTAGAAAGCTCCTTTAGCGAGGTCTGGTTTAGGAAAGGTTCATGGCACACTTTAATGGGACATTCATTTAGTTCCAGCAATTTCGTAGACATTTTATCTTCCTGGTTCAGTCGCTCCAGCAACATATCTAGACGTTTAGATAGCTCCGCTAAGGGAGGAGCTTCTTCTTTGGAGGAGAATGTTTCTGGTGAATGCACATCTGCATAGGAGAGAAGCACCACCTTGCTGAGCACGCGATGCAGATTGATCTGCAAGCCCCTTAGCTTGAGTGCCTGTGCATCCAAAGTCTTTCTAATCAAGACTAGCTCCTCCAGGGATTTTAAGCCTATATCAGACTTCCTATTCCGATTTAGAGAGTAAGTGCTTCCCAGAAATACAGAGCTCCAGGCAAGCAGAAAGAGCAACGAAACCTTCTTTAAAGGGTGTCAGTATCCTTAAAGCCTTATCCGCAGTCTGCCCTTACCATCATTCCAATTCCGAATTCAATCGCCAACTGGTGAAGTCAGCTTGAAACTTTTCCAAACACATGCTGGCCAGATTCCGCCATCTGGTGATGGTCCCAATAGATCGCTTCTGTCGCTCCATGTGTCATTTTTAAGAATATATAATTCTGTATTTTGCGGTCCTTAGTTAATCTTCACATTTCTGTTGTATTTCTTTTCAAGTTTTAACGAATTAAACTGGATTCTAGCTTTGCGGTGAAACATACGCAGTATATAGTAAAAACGAAATTAGAGTAAACATTTTCACGGACATAGCCGCAATAGGTTTGCTTATGGTTTTTGTTTTGCTTTTTTTATGGTATTAATTGCTACAATTAGCCACTAACGTTTAAGGTAGAAATGAAAACGCCTAAGTAACTAAAATACATATACATACATTTATCGTTCGATCGGATCGCTTTTCACATGCCGCCTTTCGAATTCCTCTCTATACATTTACAGTTGATAAACTTTTTAAAATATAATATATAGAAATACGGCCCCAAAGCCGTCTGATTACTTGCTGGGCTAAAGGCTAATGGTTAAGCTTGATCAATTTACAGATAGACGCTTTGTTTAGCTTAGTTGTTATATCGTTTGTGTGCAGGTGCGAATACATTTCAAATCTTCTGCTAACTGCTCTCTTGGCATTTACACGTTTATGTATGCATATGTTATATTTAAATGTGTTTGTATATATATATTTAGATTAGCTTAATATTTTATCATTAGAGCACTTCGGCTTGAAGCCCAAGTGGGTTTGTTGTTTCTAGTGTTCCTACTTAACCGCTGACCAGTGCTCGAACCGAACACATCCACCACGACTACGCGGTTGGTGGGTGCGTTCGATGACTTCTTGATCGTTGGTTAGTGTACAATTATCAGTAACTGCTTAGCTCTATGCGTTTAGCTTGTATTTACATTATTTCAAGATTTTCGCTTCTGCTTCGTTTGTTGTGAACTTGTATTTTGCTTAACTGCGTTTTTTGTGGGTTCGTAGAACTAAATAACTTAAACGATTGCTTAGAGTACGCAATGCTGTTGTGAGTGCAAACCAAACCGTTTAAAACAAATTAAAATTCTTGCTCTGCTCCGGCTGATTTGTGGTGTGTGTGTGTGTGTGTGTGTTGTGGCTTTAAAATTGACAAATCGTTTAAAAGACTTAAATAAGAAAAACGAAAATTATTTGCTTTGGATTTTGGTCTTAGATGCGTCTGCTGCGAACACCCTCGGTCCGGGTCTTCCACTCCGGATCGTTGGGGTCGTCGTCCTCGAAGGGATCATCACCTATATCCTCCTCTAACGCCTCAGGATCACCTAGATAGGCATCGATCGCCGAGTCGTATAGATCCTGCTCGACGTCTGGGGTCGACGGCTCCTCATCGTCCAGCGGCGCCAGATGATGCTTGGGATAGTCGTCATCCTCATCTTCTAGCAGCATTTCCTCCTCTTCCGGCTCAGAAATTCCACCTTCATTTGCCGCATCTGTTTCGTTCAGCTTCGCTGCCGCAGGATGACCATTAAGCTGGCCACTTAGCTGACCATTTGGCTTAATCTTGCACTTGCTGCTGCGCCGACTACTGCTGCCTCCTGTGGAAGTGTTCCCATCGCAGTTCGAGGATATCGACTTGCTCTTGGCCCGCTTTAAAACGGTCATTGATCTGGGCGTCGCATATGTCTCAGCCAACAATCGCTGGTAGACCTCGTCGGAGAGCGGAAAGTTCAAGGGCTCAAAGGGAGATGGCATCACAGTGTAAGACTATACATAAAGGGAAAAGGTTTCAATTAGACAGCTATTTCATACAATCATTATTTAAACAGCAAGTTTGAAATCAAAATTCGACTGGCAAAAGAAATAGGCAAAGCGGATTATATGGTAATGAATTTATTGTACATTAGTTGTTCAACAAATGTGAATCTTTGGCTTAACCCAACCTTCGACTTACCTCCCGCAGATCGGGCGTGGTGCTGCGCCGTTCTAGCTGATCCTTAAGCTTGCTAGACGTAGTCCGACGACGAGCTTGGCGTGCCTGTCCGCCCGCCAGCAGCTCACCGCTTTCGTTGAAACCGTCCAGTGGGTGGGCCAGCGGCGAAGGAATGCTTTCGTTGTCGTGACCAATGCCGCCCACATGAGGAGCTGGTGAGGCGGGATCTGGGGTGTTGGCGCCACTAGATTCGGCGCGACTATCGATGCGCCTATTTGCACGGGATCGGGTGCTCCAGGGGAACTTAAGGAAAGTCTCGAAGCGGCGTCGCTCCTCGAGAAGAGCTCGCTGATGTCGCATAATAAACGCTTCATCCGAGAGATCCTCCTCGACATGCGCCTCCTCCTCGCTCTCACGGGATTCCAGCTGTAGCTGCACCAGCTGCCCATTAGCTTTGGTGACCTCGTTGGCTTGGGTTTCAAGCTTGGGTCGCTTAGGCAGTGGTTGTTCTGATGCTGGTTGAGCAATTTTGTCTTGCTTTTCGGCAGTTTTATCATCCGGATTCTTTCCCAAGTTTCCGTTGAGCTTGGGTTTGACCACTTTTTCCTTTTGCTCGTCTTCTTTTGATTGCGTATCGTGATCCTCTGCAGCCTTAAGTTCATCCTTTTTGGCGTTGCCATTCACCAGTCCATTTTTATTATTATTGTTTGTATTATTATTGTTATTGTGCTTGACTGCTTGCTTCTCCTTTAAACCATTAACCTTTGGAGGCTGCAGGGCCGGCTGCTCTTGATCTAGTGATGGTGGCTGTGGTTCGGGTAGCTCGTCTGACTTGGATGCGAGACAGCCATTGCTCAGCTGGCGCTCCGCTGACTCATCCGACGAATGTTTTCCGTTATCATTATCACTGTCTACGATGCGCCACCTGAAAATAGAGATAGGATGGGTTGTTTAAATATATATATATATATATATCGTTGGCTTCTACATATAGTTAAAATAGGGATAAATCCTTTACCAGAGTAAGATGCTGGCAAAACTGCATACTTACTTGGGTATGGGTATTTCCTTGTAGGGAATAATTTCCATTTTCGACTGGGCTAGCATACTGTAGGGTATAACGATATTATTGATGTCGTAGATGGGACGAACGCGACGCTCAGAGGTTCTGCAAGGAGGAAAATATATATTCAACGATCTTTCTTATAATAAAAATGATCAACTAAACAAACGCGAATCCCTGAGATCAGTCAGTGAATCCGAAACCTACCTCTCATTTTTATGACTGTGGGAGGGCGAGGAGTTGCGACGACTCCTGCTCTGCTCCCCCCACTGATCCCCGTAGCCGTTGAGATGGTGGTTGATGTTGGTGCCGTGTTGATTCTGCTGCTGTGTGGAATTGCTGCTGCTGCTGTTGGTTGCGGATTTACGTGACTTCTTAGCGCCGCTGAGTGCCGAGATCGAGGTTGAGGAGGGACTGTGGTGGCGTGGTCGTTGGCGTTGGCGAGAGTCTGGCCACAGCGAGCTGGAACTGCTCGCTCCAGTTGGGTGTTGTGGTTGCCGCTTGCCCTTGGCTGCTGCTGATGTAGCGTTAGATCCGTGAATTGGATGCGGAACAGGGACGAAACGGAGACAAGAACGGAATGGCAAAATAAAACAATTGGTGGAGTTTTTTCGTTGTTGTTGGTGGTGGTGTTGATGGTGTTGTGGAATTTCGTGTTTTGGTTGATCGATGTAAAGAAAAAGAAGAAGAGATGCAAAAGATTGTTGTTGTTTTATGTTAATAACAATTATCGAATATCGTCATGTTTACAATAATTTACTGTTGGCCACAAGTGGCGTTGTAGTAGGCGTAGTAGAAGAAGAAGTAGTAGCAGTACCAGTACCGTTTCCGCTATCCCCTCCCCCGACGCCACCGCTTCCGTTTCCGCCTGCTCCTCCTCCTCCTGCAGCAGCCGCCTTAGCTCCGCTGCCAGCCTCCTTATTTGAGTTGTTGTTGCGCTCCTTGCGTCGTATATAACGCCGCTTCACCGCATCGCCCGACCGCCGGCTGCCACCTTGTCCGCCGGCACCGCCCGAGGCTAGCGTCTCGCGCTCCGCCTTCCACATGGCCTTAACAATGGCCTTGGGTTGGCTGCGCATGACGCGGTACTGCCAGTCCGGCTGGCGGGCAACGGCCTCCAAGTGAACAGACTGACTGACATCTAAGAAACAGAATAATGAGGAAAGGGAAAATGTTTAAACACAATTTTCCATTTTAGATTTCAGCATCCGACTATTTCTTTTCATTTTGGAATATAAAGTATTTTTTAAAGAACTATTTTCAGCTGGTTGAAGTAGTTAAATCGCTCGAGTACGAATAGTTTAACGTTTTGGTGTAGAACATGCATTTTGTTTGCATACATTGATTCGACTTGTAAAATAATTTGAAAGTATTGCATTTCATAGTGTTACTTTTTAATCAATTCATTTGAAATCTCACGTGTAGAATAATGTTAATCAATCACAGATAATAAGAAATACTCAAGGATGAAAACCAAATGGGCCCACTCAGTGTAACCTCCCACTCACCGCTGGCGAAGCTGAGCACTGGATGGTAGCCAGCATCGAGCAGTGCCACCCGGTTTTGCGGCATCATCGTTTCGACCAGATCCCTGGGCGCTGTGGGGTCTGTCCGACCCGTGCACAGGGTGCATGGCACCTGCGGCCACTGGCAGCCACACTTAATGTTGCTTGGCCGTGCGGCTTTCTTGGAAATCGTGTGCATGTTCGTGGTTTGGAAGAGCTTGCGCTTGCGGAACTCGGACAGCACCAATGGCCGGGCCCGACTGCAGAGGTAGTCAGATCCGGGCTCCTCCTTAATGCCATTTGCCGGCGGTGGAAGCGACGGCGAGGTTTTAGCTGTGGACTCCAGCTGCACCTCGCCCTTGGACTGAGTTAGATCCAAGTATAGGTCGCTGTGCTGACGGATCTTCATCTCCAAGTCGGTCAGTTGGGAACAGAGCCAGGACCAGCGCAGGGCTATACCTGCCCGATCTCTCGAGTATCGCCAAACAGCGCGGCGAGTGCTGAAAAGAATCAAAATTCAAGCGAATTAGGAATCAGAAATAAAAAAAAAGGTATAAGAAATATATAATCATTGAATAAACAAATTTATCAATAATGTAATGATTTACTTGTGGAAAGCACGTATTGTTTGTGTGTAGCTACGATAATTAAATAATTACAATATTTCAATTGCTAAGGACGACCAAAAATCATGTTTAAAATGCCTGTCAAAGCAAAAAATAATTTTAAAAGAGAACTACCGAGCCAACATTTATCGGATAAATTCTAGATCAAAAGAATGATCTTAAAAAGCTGACAGCAGCTGAAAACTCCACAAAAAAGAAGGAAGAAAGTTTGCTCGTTAAATATTCTATATTACCTAAGTATGTACATATGTAATACGGAGTACTCACATTGGTAGCGAGAGCTGCTGGGTGTTGTTATAGGTTACCATCTCGTCAGCGGATTCTCCACCAGAACTGGACTCCGTGGCGTCCGAATCGATGGCATTCTGTACTTCTCGAAGCTCCGTGTGCAGTAAGCCAGACACATGAGTGAGTTCATTAGTCACATAGGTGTCGTAGACGGGCACGATATCGTCCGCCCGTGGTGTATTTAAACTCGTTGCAGGTCCCGTCGTGCCTGCATTCAGTCCAGATGTTCCCACTCCCGACGCAGATGTGGCTGTTGCCCCTGTTGCCATCGAAGCATCCAGTTGATTCTTTCGCGGACGTTTCACCGGCAGCGCTGAGCTGTTGTACCAGCTAGAGGATGGCGCCAGAGTAGCGGAGCTTCCACTGGCTGAGTGGCAGATTTGCTGATGCTTGGCCGCCGTCGCAATATGCCGGATCACATTGCTCATCTGGCTAGCGGGCAGCGGATGCTTGTTCTGCTCCTCCCAGAAGGATGAGCTCGGACGCCCCGAGACAATCGATAGGACAGTTGCCTCCTGCTCGTTCAGTGTGGAACTTCTCGCTGGAACTTGCGCCTTATGAGAACTGCGGGCAGACCACTCCATGATGCCGGCCACCTCCTCGCTGGTGTGGCGGCACATCGCCCGCGCCTGGAGCTTGCGCATCCTGCGTAGCAAGAACTCGATCCGGCGCGAGATGACGTGCTGCTGCTCCTCCAACTCAGCATGACTCTCCTGCCAGGGCCGCTGCTCCTGCTTAATAATCACATTCGGCTGGGAAACATTGCCTCCGCTGGCGAGGATGCTGCCACTACAACTGGGCTTCACGTCCGGCAGATCGACCACATTTTCAGGGGCCGCGGGCGGCAATGGTGCTACCGGTGCTGCCTCTTCCCAAACTTCGTCGAAAAAGTCGCAAATGGTATCCGGATTAACATGGCCCCCGTCGAATGTTTTAAGCGCTTTAAGCACCTCCTCGATATCCTGATCCTCTAGAACAGCACCAGCTGCTCCATCTTTAAGAAAATTTATAGAACTGGAGGTGCTTTGTGGCGTCATCTGTTGAATTGGCTGCTGCTGTATTCGCGCCGACTGTGGAGAATCAAGATGGGCACTTGGTGGCGCCTGTGGCCTTGTGGGCGTGTTTGGCGTCTCGTTTGGCGTCACGGGTACCGGAACAGAAGATGGTGCCACATGCTCGTCGGGCATTCCAGTGGCATTCCCATCTAGCTGGCTGAGACGCTCTGAAATAGTAGGCAAAGGAAATTTTGAGTTAAGACTATTCATTTGGAGTGATTCCTTGGACCAACCTTCTATATTATCTGTTTCTATCTTAGGCAGCTCGTCCACTGAAGATAAGGGTAATCCGCTACCAGAGCTCGCAGAACATGTGGCCACTGCCAGTACCGATGTAGGCGGAACCGGCTCTTTCCCCAGGCTCACATCGGGTAGGGTTTTTCTCAGGCAAATCTCTGCGGATATGGTCTCTTCAAAGTTGATGGTTAAATCCGCCAGCAGCTGGGCGGTGGAATTGTCGTTGGGCGTGGAGCTGTTGCCGGCGGAGGTACTGTTGCTGCTGCTGTTGTTGTTGTTGTGCTCCACAGCAGAGGTAGAGGCTACCGCTGCATCCGTCGAGGGATTTGGTGAACTGTTGCTGTGTGGGGTTGGGGCGGTGCTCAGCCCCATTTGTTCATTGTTGGCTTTTACGCTGACAGATTTTCGCTTGTTATTGATTGCTGGCGAGGATCGCTGTTGTTGTAGTTGCGGGGAAGCGGTCACTGAGGCCGCTGCCGCCGAAGAGCGGGTAACCCGCGTGGTGGCTGTGGCCGGCGTGGGCGTTGCCGGCTTCTTGACCAAGCCAACTGCACCTCCAACTCCTCCGCTTTCCGAGGAGCTGCGGGCCGAGGGCGAGGCGGTGCTGGTTAGCTTCTCCTTAGGACTTAGTGGCTCGGCTGTGAGCGCTGGGGCCATCGTTCTGATGCTACTGCGTTGGCCGGCTGCTGCGGCATTTGGTTCGCTCGACTTTTAAGGCTTCTCGATGCTAATCCTGTCGAGAATTTTTCAAATACGGGCTATTATTTCGGCAATTCAACGCTCGGAAGGCAAAATAAAGGCATACTATTTTATTTCCGATGCCCTGTTAGACTACTCCGTTATCATGTAAAGAAGCTATGATATTTGTGTATTTATTTTTTTTTATCTCGTTTCAATTGCCCGCCTCCCTAAGATTTCAAAATTTGGAATGGTTTTTTGTCTTTTCCGGCGTGTTATGTACATATGCTACATATACGTACACGCACTAACACACACACACACAGGCCGTGCTGGCTAACAAGAGAGCCCATGGGAGCGAGAGAGAGGTCAGAACGCGCGCTATTGCACACCATGATGCGCAATAAAAAAAACTGTATAGAACACACACACACACGAACTGACAGACTACTTTACATACTGACGAAATCATTGCGGTTGCTTTCGAAAATCGCAGTTTTCCAAGATCTTACATCTTCTGCTGGCGGGAAACTACCGCCCAGGCCCCCATGTTTTTATGTAATTCCGTTTATTGAGTTTTTCCACTACAATTGGTCAAAGCAAACGGAAACTCGCGCCTTTACACACACACACACACAAGCACACATGCAAGCACACGTACACGTGCAACTGTATGCTCCACTATATTCAGTTATTTACACAATCGCATTAACTGTATTCCACATGTCTCGATCAATTCTGATCTATAAATCGGTTAAATGTGCTTTGTGCTCTATTTTTTTGCTCAGACTCCAGCGAAAAAGCAGTGGAAAAAGGTTTTCAGCGCGAAAGTACTCGTACTCACTAACACAGGCAAACATGCCCACACCGACAGCAGGCAGGCAGCACGCAAGAATTTGTAAATTGCTTAAAATTAAGTAGTATTTTTTTTCGTTATACGCACAATTCGGCCGTTCCGAAAAAATGCCCGTCGCACAATTGGCAAATAATCTTTGTGCACACTATGGCGTGACTCGCACTGTTGGGAATTACGGTTACGGTTCTCGCTTCACGGACTTTTTTCCTCATTTATTTTTTTCATCGCTTAGGCTGCCCTGCTACGCTTTTGGCAAAACGACGTGTATCGAAGCTGTACTCGTTTCTGTGCCAGACCAAAGTGCGCTGCCGCCCAGCCGGTTGTCTCGCTCTCGCACGTGCGCCGTCTATGGCGGTGGCTCGGCGCAGGGCCATGTGTGCGAGCGAGATGACCGGTGCCTTTAGCAGGGAGCTGCTAAACTATCGACTGTGATAGCGATATATCGAGTAGATAACTCAGTAGCTTCTGGAGTGGTGGGTATTTTGACTATCGATTAAAGGTTTAGTTATACCCTTTACTCGTGGAGTAAAAGGGTATACTAGGTTCGTTGAAAAGTATGTAAGATGGAAACGTTTCCGACCATGTAAAATATATATATATTCTTGATCAGGATCAATAGCCGAGTCGATCTGGCCATGCCCGTCTTTCCGTCCGTATAAACGCCTCGATCACAGGAACTACAAAAGCTAGAAAGTTGAGATTAAGCATGCAGCTTCCAGAGGCATAGACGCATCGCAAGTTTATTTCCAAATTTCCCACTGTAACGCCCACAAACCGCACAAATCTATCACGGCCACACTTTTGATAAATGCCATATTTTTTCGTTTTTGAATGTCATGTAAATTTTTATAGATTTGTCAAAAAACTTATTGCCACGCCTACTCCAACGCCCAAAAACCGCCCAAAAATGTCACGCCCTTACACTGTTGAAAAATGTGTTTTTATTTTCATTTTTGACATATCTCGTAAATTTCTATTATTATTATTATTATTTTATGATTTTTTCTACCGATATTCCAGAAAATTTGAAAATTTCTCGTTTGAACTTCCACTAGGTGAGTAACGGGTATCTGATAGTCGGGGAACTCGACTATAGCATTCTACCTTGTTTTCTTTATAAATATAAATTATTTATTATTTTTCTTGTGCTATGCTGAATTTTGCGAGACGTAAAATTTCTAATTTCAACACTATCGAGTATTATCGAGCTAGTCGATAACGATGCAGCTCTTTCCTGGAGCCCTGGTATTTTATTTTGATTTTGTTTCGCGAATACATGGATGTCTTTTAAAATAAATATTTATGGCGAACGAGCTAACAATTTGCGTTTAACGTTTTATAGCGAAGGAAGTGAACGTATAGCCATCGATTTCCTGGGCTGGCGAAAATTCCGCTTTGGAGATCTTAGAGCTGGGACTTCCTTTGGTCTGCAGCCAGTGTTTCCTTCAAATTAGTGGGCGAGGGTTAAAAGATTGAATTGATGGAGAGCGGTGGTACCTACATTTCGTTTAGCTCCGCTAGAGGAGCCTCCAGTTGCCCCTTGACGGTCTCATCCCGGGTATTCATGCACCAGCCCCTAACTCCAAGTCTTTTGGCCTCCTGCTCCGTGTACTAAGCCAAAAATGTACATAGGTTAATTGTTGATTCCACGCCATTACGTATATAAGCCTCCAAGTACCTACCTTGCGGAAGAACACACCTGCAAGAGTTAATAAGCTGTTTAGTTAGTCGGATTATAGGAACCCAAGTATAGTATACCTTGCACTCGTCCAAAAACCTCGAAATTGCAGGCGAACAGCTGCTTGGCAACTCCTGATCCTGCCATTTCGTTGTTGCGATCGGAGTTTCGATGCTCTTCCGTGCTAACAGCACTTAAATTTCCGCACAGAGCTAGCAAAAGCGAAGTTGTGACAACCAAAATAAAGTTATTATCAAATAGTGTCATAGTTTCCGAAGCCAGGGCGCCAACACACAACCAGGGCCGTTCAGTAGAAAATACCAAGATATCAGTACTTACCGAGTACACACATCACTTGTGAACATCGATCTATCGCAGATGCTCAGCTCATCTCCAGCTCAAGTTTACCGTTTCTTTTCAAGGCAGGACGCGCTTGCCAAAATTTGCAAAAATTTAGGTAAACTAATTAAAACCTTAGTAATATACGAGTAACTATACTCTTCTTTTATAAATTAGTTGCGCTAATTGAACTGCTTAGCTGGCAAAATGACGGGCGCAAAGAAAAGGCCTGGATCACCGATAGCGGACGCGGTTCATTCAAAAGCGCCAATATCAGGTACAGTCGCTCTAGAAAAGAGCAGTCAGATCCAAAATATGCGAGAAAATGACCATTCGGAAAAATCAAACGAAAAACCCTCAATAAAAAGCGCTCCGCAAGTGGCTTCTGAAGTTGAGACATCAAAAACTGAAGCGCAAATACCTCAGGCTACGGAAAAGACCCAGAAAGTCCAAACTTCCGCTGCCACCGAAGAGACTTCCAAAACAAATATCAAAAAGTCTCCCGAATACGGCGAAGAATTATGGGCAGATATCCAGAAGCTGTCGCCCCATATGGGAATAATACTTCAAGGCTTTATAAAGCAGTACAACGACTCGCTCATGAATATCAAGAAGAAAGACTTGGTTGTAAGCAAGAAAATGAGAGCCATCGTCATGGACTCGCTGAAGAAAAAAGCGGAAAATATCACCCTTAAAGGACAGTAAGACCTCGCAACTCTAGTACAGTTCCTACCTGTAGTGCGCTCATTCTTTCAGGTTGTCACATATGGAGATGCAGCTGACCCAAGTGAAGAAAGATCTTCTTAAGCAGCAGGAGAAGTACGCAGAGAACGCGCAGAAGTACATGGAAATCAACAAAAAGTATGTCCATTGCGAGAAATACTACGACACAGAGCTGGAAATCATTAAAGCGTGTATGGAGAAGAGAAATTCAGAGCTCAAAGACGCACAATCCCGAATTGCCCTACAGGGGCGAGAGGTAAGGGCTTTATGGGTTAGATGAAACTAATCGTCACTTATAACTAATATGTGTATCTCGTGTTGCAGCTGAATAATATGCAACAAACGAATCGCCAGTTAGCTGGGACATGCACTGCTTATAAGACGGATTTGGAACAGGCAGAAGTGGCAAACTCTAAGATTCAACAGGAACTTGCAGGATTCAAGCAGATGTACGAAGCCTTAACCGTGCAATTTGAAGATATTTCTGCACAAAAAGAAAATTGCGAGGTGGGTTACACGGGTTTACTTATAGGATTACTAACATTATTTCCTCCACAGGCAAACATCTTACAATTAAGCACCGACTTAAATGCAAAGATTCTTGCCTGCACCGAGCTTGCAGAGCGCATTGAGCAGATGCCAATAGAAGCCAACAAAGTTTTGTCGAAACTGCAAAGTGATTTAGAAGCCAGTGAATTACGATTTGTGGAGCAGCAACGATTGACTGACCAAACCACGAAGGAACTTGAACTTCTTCGGAATCAAATAAACACGTCTAAAACTCTCATTGAGGAAAAGGAAAGTCGACATGTTTCCCTGAGTAATGAACTGACTCAAATGACGGAGAGGTTGAACGAACTAGTCGATATAAACGAAAGTTATCTCAATGAACTGACTGAATCGAAGCTAAAGCACTCTCAGGAAATTAAAGAGCAAGCTGAGGCCTACGAGGTAGGTTCAAAACCCATTAAACTGATCTTTTTTTTCGTGTCTGGACTAATAATTCATATTGACAGATTGTTGTTCACGAGTTGAAAGGGCTGTTGGACAAAGCGTCAGTGGATTTTACACAGCTTAAGAGCAACAGTGAGGAACAACACAATGAAGCCTTTCGACAGGTCTCCCAGCTCCAGGAAAAACTTAGTGAAATGGTGTCCCACCGGAGCAATCAGGAGGAACTAATAAAGCGTCTTGGTAATGAACTTAATGAAAAAACCCTCGGCTTCGAAAAAGAACTTAAAAGACAACAGGAGCAGCTGGCTAATCAAATGCAGATAAAGGCAACTGAAGTTGAGCGCGAAAATATGCGCAGTGCTGCTGAAATAAAAAAACTCAAATCTGAACTCGAGGAAAGAAATATAGCTTTTAAGGCTCAGCAGGAGAAATTGGAAGATTTGATAAGAGATCATGATAGGCTAAACAACACTGTTACCAATCTTCAGGCTAAAAAGAAGGAAATGGCGAATGAATTATCCAGAGCCAAAGTGCAATTTAGCCAGGAATTAACGTCCCAGAAAGATAACCTTATGGTAAGACTTAAGTATTCTCGTTCCTTGGTTTGTATTCTACAAAATAATATATTTTTCCTATACAGAAAAAGGTATCCGAATTGGAGCTAGAAATTCAAAGAAAGGAAACTGAAATTATTGAACTCGAGCGCGGAAAGAACGTAAGTCTACTAGACTGTATATATTTTTTATCTTACTTCATATATGTATTTGAATATGCCCAACAGAATGAAATGGCCGTGCTTCAATTTAAAATGAAACGCATTAATAGCGTAATCGACCAACCAGTAACCATGATTAAGCAGCTCATGGATTCCCAAGGGCAGACCAAAACTCAAAGCATCCAGAATAAGGTGCAACCGAATGCAGCAGACGTATTGCCAAGCGCTGCCAAAAAGCGTAATGCTCGCCGTCAAAAATTTACCACATATGCGTCAGACTTTGATAGCGGAGATGACATGCCAGTGAGTATTCGTTATTTCGTTAATTAGTCACCGTTAAATCATTGAACCTTTTGTTACAGATCTTAAGCGAACATTTAAGCGGCAAACGTCTTAAATTATCTGCGTCCGTCAAGCCACGAAATGGAGTGGATGTGTTCGACAGGTTGAAGACTTCTAAATAACTAATACGTACTAATAACTAATAAGTACTACGAACGTACAGAAAACTTTATCATTTCTTTACTCTTCGTCATAAGTAAAATGGAAGAATATTGAGTTTAGAAATGAATTCAGATCATTCGATATCATTTCCACATCTGTATTTCTTTAAAAACTTGAACTGGACAAGTTGTTTTTAAGAACATGATTTATGTTATTTAATTTGTATCTTATTCTTACATTTAAACTCATACCATGAAGTATCTTATCCAAATTATCAATCGATTTATTCAATCGATTTGGTTATAGTTTTCGCAATAAAAACAATTTAATCAGTAACACATTTTTGTCCTTACTTTGAAGGACTCTAAACAAATTTTGAAAGCATACCAAAAGTAAAAACGGGTAAAAACAAAACGTAAAATGATCGTTACTAAACTATGTTTCGATGATATTTATCAGGTGGTCCACATCAGCAGCATCTACGACTCCGTTCGCTTGCATGCCAGATTCCTCCATTGCCTTCCTGGTGCCACTTCCCATGGCTATCAGCTTGCGATCCTTCAGCGAAACGTTGTAATTCCCAAAGAACTCCAAGGATATCCAGATATTTGTTCGTTTTTGAATATATCTTGTAAATTTTTATAGATTTGTCAAACTTTTTGCCACGCCCACTCCAACGCCCACACACTGTTGAAAAATGTGTTTTTATTTTCATTTTTGAAAATACATATCGTAAATTTCTATAGATTATTTTATGATTTTTTCTACCGATATTCCAGAAAATTTTAAAATTTCTCGTTTGAACTTCCACGAGGTGAGTAACGGGTATATGATAGTCGGGGTACTCGACTATAGAATTCTACCTTGTTTTCTTTATAATTATAAATAATTTATTATTTTTATGCTAAATTTTGCGAGACGTAACATTTTTAATTTCCACACTATCGATAACACACTATCAAGTAAGTCGATAATTATGAAGCTCTCGCTGCAGCCCTGGTATTTTATTTTGATTTTGTTTCGCGAATACATGGATGTCTTTTAAAATAAATATTTATGGCGAACGAGCTAACAATTTGCGTTTAACGTTTTATAGCGAAGGAAGTGAACGTATAGCCCTCGATTTCCTGGGCTGGCGAAAATTCCGCTTTGGAGATCTTAGAGCTGGGACTTCCTTTGGTCTGCAGCCAGTGTTTCCTTCAAATTAGTGGGCGAAGGTCAAAAGATTGAATTGATGGAGACCGGTGGTAACTACATTTCGTTTAGCTCCGCTAGAGGAGCCTCCAGTAGCCCCTTGACGGTCTCATCCCAGGTATTCATGCACCAGCCAGTCATAGCACCAGCACCAGACTGGTCATAGTTTCCGAAGCCAGGGCGCGAACACACAACCAGGGCCGTTCAGTAGATATTAGTATTTAGCGAGTACACACACCACTTGTGAACATCGATATATCGCAGATGCTCAGCTCATCTCCAGCTCAAGTTTACCGTTTCTTTTTAACGCAGGACGCGCTTGCCAAAATTTGCAAAAATATAGGTAAACTAATTAAAACCTTAGTAACATACGAGTAACTATACTCTTCTTTTATAAATTAGTTGCGCTAATTGAACTGCTTAGCTGACAAAATGACGGGCGCAAATAAAAGGCCTGGATCACCGATAGCGGACGCGGTTCATTCAAAAGCGCCAAAATCAGATACAGTCGCTCTAGAAAAGAGCAGTCAGATCCAAAATATGCGAGAAAATGACCATTCGGAAAAATCAAACGAAAAACCCTCAATAAAAAGCGCTCCGCAAGTGGCTTCTGAAGTTGAGACATCAAAAACTGAAGCGCAAATACCTCAGGCTACGGAAAAGACCCAGAAAGTCCAAACTTCCGCTGCCACCGAAGAGACTTCCAAAACAAATATCAAAAAGTCTCCCGAATACGGCGAAGAATTATGGGCAGATATCCAGAAGCTGTCGCCCCATACGGGAATAATACTTCAAGGCTTTATAAAGCAGTACAACGACTCGCTCATGAATATCAAGAAGAAAGACTTGGTTGTAAGCAAGAAAATGAGAGCCATCGTCATGGACTCGCTGAAGAAAAAAGCGGAAAATATCACCCTTAAAGGACAGTAAGACCTCGCAACTCTAGTACAGTTCCTACCTGTAGTGCGCTCATTCTTTCAGGTTGTCACATATGGAGATGCGGCTGATCCAAGTGAAGAAATATTTTCTTAAGCAGCAGGAGGAGCAAGCAGAGGCGTACATGGAAATCAACAAAAAGTATATCCATTGCGAGAAATACTACGACAAAGAGCTGGAAATCATTAAAGCGTGTATGGAGAAGAGAAATTCAGAGCTCAAAGACGCACAATCCCGAATTGCCGTACAGGGGCGAGAGGTAAGGGCTTTATGGGTTAGATGAAACTAATCGTCACTAATAACTAATATGTGTATCTCGTGTTGCAGCTGAATAATATGCAGCAAACGAATCGCAAGTTAGCTGGGACTTGCACTGCTTATAAGACGGATTTGGAACAGGCAGAAGTGGCAAACTCTAAGATTCAACAGGAACTTGCAGGATTCAAGCAGATGTACGAAGCCTTAACCGTGCAATTTGAAGATATTTCTGCACAAAAAGAAAATTTCGAGGTGGGTTACACGGGTTTACTTATAGGATTACTAACATTATTTTCTCCACAGGCAAACATCTTACAACTAAGCACCGACTTAAATGCAATGATTCTTGCCTGCACCGAGCTTGCAGAGCGCATTGAGCAGATGCCAATAGAAGCCAACAAAGTTTTGTCGAAACTGCAAAGTGATTTAGAAGCCAGTGAATTACGATTTGTGGAGCAGCAACGATTGACTGACCAAACCACGAAGGAACTTGAACTTCTTCGGAATCAAATAAACACGTCTAAAACTCTCATTGAGGAAAAGGAAAGTCGACATGTTTCCCTGAGTAATGAACTGACTCAAATGACGGAGAGGTTGAACGAACTAGTCGATATAAACGAAAGTTATCTCAATGAACTGACTGAATCGAAGCTAAAGCACTCTCAGGAAATTAAAGAGCAAGCTGAGGCCTACGAGGTAGGTTCAAAACCCATTAAACTGATCTTTTTTTTCGTGTCTGGACTAATAATTCATATTGACAGATTGTTGTTCACGAGTTGAAAGGGCTGTTGGACAAAGCGTCAGTGGATTTTACACAGCTTAAGAGCAACAGTGAGGAACAACACAATGAAGCCTTTCGACAGGTCTCCCAGCTCCAGGAAAAACTTAGTGAAATGGTGTCCCACCGGAGCAATCAGGAGGAACTAATAAAGCGTCTTGGTAATGAACTTAATGAAAAAACCCTCGGCTTCGAAAAAGAACTTAAAAGACAACAGGAGCAGCTGGCTAATCAAATGCAGATAAAGGCAACTGAAGTTGAGCGCGAAAATATGCGCAGTGCTGCTGAAATAAAAAAACTCAAATCTGAACTCGAGGAAAGAAATATAGCTTTTAAGGCTCAGCAGGAGAAATTGGAAGATTTGATAAGAGATCATGATAGGCTAAACAACACTGTTACCAATCTTCAGGCTAAAAAGAAGGAAATGGCGAATGAATTATCCAGAGCCAAAGTGCAATTTAGCCAGGAATTAACGTCCCAGAAAGATAACCTTATGGTAAGACTTAAGTATTCTCGTTCCTTGTTTTGTATTCTACAAAATAATATATTTTTCCTATACAGAAAAAGGTATCCGAATTGGAGCTAGAAATTCAAAGAAAGGAAACTGAAATTATTGAACTCGAGCGCGGAAAGAACGTAAGTCTACTAGACTGAATATATTTTTTATCCTACTTCATATATGTATTTGAATATGCCCAACAGAATGAAATGGCCGTGCTTCAATTTAAAATGAAACGCATTAATAGCGTAATCGACCAACCAGTAACCATGATTAAGCAGCTCATGGATTCCCAAGGGCAGACCAAAACTCAAAGCATCCAGAATAAGGTGCAACCGAATGCAGCAGACGTATTGCCAAGCGCTGCCAAAAAGCGTAATGCTCGCCGTCAAAAATTTACCACATATGCGTCAGACTTTGATAGCGGAGATGACATGCCAGTGAGTATTCGTTATTTCGTTAATTAGTCACCGTTAAATCATTGAACCTTTTGTTACAGATCTTAAGCGAACATTTAAGCGGCAAACGTCTTAAATTATCTGCGTCCGTCAAGCCACGAAATGGAGTGGATGTGTTCGACAGGTTGAAGACTTCTAAATAACTAATACGTACTAATAACTAATAAGTACTACGAACGTACAGAAAACATTATCATTTCTTTACTCTTCGTCATAAGTAAAATGGAAGAATATTGAGTTTAGAAATGAATTCAGATCATTCGATATCATTTCCACATCTGTATTTCTTTAAAAACTTGAACTGGACAAGTTGTTTTTAAGAACATGATTTATGTTATTTAATTTGTATCTTATTCTTACATTTAAACTCATACCATGAAGTATCTTATCCAAATTATCAATCGATTTATTCAATCGATTTGGTTATAGTTTTCGCAATAAAAACAATTTAATCAGTAACACATTTTTGTCCTTACTTTGAAGGACTCTAATCAAATTTTGAAAGCATACCAAAAGTAAAAACGGGTAAAAACAAAACGTAAAATGATCGTTACTAAACTAAGTTTTGATGATATTTATCAGGTGGTCCACATCAGCAGCATCTACGACTCCGTTCGCTTGCATGCCAGATTCCTCCATTGCCTTCCTGGTGCCACTTCCCACGGCTATCAGCTTGCGATCCTTCAGCGAAACGTTGTAATTCCCAAAGAACTCCAAGGAACTGCGGACACTGGAGGGTCCAAAGAACACAATCGTTTCCATTCGCTTGAACTTGAGGGCGTGCCGCATCTGATTGACGAAATCCGGATGAGACCGACTCTCGTACACTTCGCAGGCGTCCACCCGGAATCCCTGGGCGACCAAACGGAGACGCAGCGTCTGACCCACGCCATTGCCACAGGGCATAAGTAGCGGAAGATCCCTCTTGGGCCCAAAGGTCTCCACGATCAGATCGCACAGATTATTCGCATTCACGGCGTGGTCGCCCAGGGTCGAAAGATTCTGGAATGTAAGCCAAGCGGCGCTGTGAGTGTTCTTTCCCAAGGAGTAATTGTGCAACGCCCGCCAGCAACTTGGAAGTGGCGTCTTTCCCAGTGCCTCGTTCACAGCCTGGACACAGCGAGGGGACGCAAAGATAATGCCGGCGTACTTGTGAGGCTCAAGCAGCTTGGCCTGCAATTGCTTAAGGTTCTTGAACACGAAGTGCGATGGAGTAATAAAGATGGGATCCAGATTATGGCTGCGCAAGGCCGAACCATAGTAATCATCGGAGGACGGAACTTTTAGCAGAATAACCGGTCGCTTGTTGCGATCTCCCATGGTTCTAACTAAATTTTGCTGGATTTAAGAAACGAATGGACAATTTGATATCTGTGTTTTGCGTTTGATTTATAGATTGTTCGAATAGTAACGGAATAGAATAGATAATGTCTGAGAATTATTGCCGCGCCTATCGAGAGTCGGGCTTCAAAAAACTGTTCTTCAAATTTAAGCCAACCAGAAAATCAAACCAAACACGAGTGCAGCTACCAAAGTTCCAGTTGCACTTTGAAAAAATTTGTCAATACTTTCGGGAATGTTATCACAAGCATTTGAAGCGCAATCATTTATAATTTTGTACATTTATATGGAAAACAGGTGAGTGTACGACAATAACCAAGCAATAGTAAAAGTAGAAAGTACAACAATTAAATATAAATCCGTTTAGACAGCTCCCATCTGGAGAATGGGTGTAAATAGCTTGTAGGCTTTCTCGATAAACTGCACGGCAGATAGCATCTCGGAAAAGAATGTGCTGACCCGGGCTTTAGATTCCTCCGCTTCTGATTTGCCACTTAGAACGGCGGCGAAGCGGTGGCTAAGTCCCTGGAGGTGTCCATTGAACTGCTGGCAGAGATTAACGACGCCGTCCACTTCGTTGGCGGTGCTATGATGTGGCTTCACTAGCAACAGCTCGGCGATCTTGTGCAGCTTACACATCTGGAGGGCGCAGGCTTCGCTCAGGGCGTGGATGCTTTTCGCATAAGCTTGCTCCAGATCGGCGGCAGTGGCATCCTCCGAAGTCAACCAGCTGAGCGACTGCGTCCAGTGTCTGCACAAAAGAATTGGACTTACTGAGTTCAAATACTTTCAATTGCGGTCTACTCACTTGGCTATGTCGTCAAACTGAATGCCCAGCTCTGCATCCTTGATCGTGGCAGCCAGCCGCTCGCTCAGCTCTTCCGCCTCGTAGTCACCTTCACTCTCCACTTCCAGATCCTCCAGTTCGAGGAGTTCCTTCACCTCGTTTATCGTTTCCTGCAATTCGGCGAGGGCTTTACCACTGACGGCATCGAGAAGGGTGTCCAGCTTGAGACGCGACTCCTTGGAGAGGATCTCCAGGGCCTCGAAATGCACCAGGCCACAGTAATGCTCGAAGAGGACTTCGAATTGCAGCTGGGCCTTCTGCCTTTCCAGCTGCAGCTGCTGCAGAGATTGCTCCATTTGGTCGGCATCCTTCTTCGCCTCCAACAATACGGCACTCAAATTGGGCGAGTTGGTCTCCAGGCCAAGCAGCTTCCTCTTGTTCATCAGCTTGGGATCGTTGTCCTGCAGAATGGTCATGGTCTTCTTGCCAATGCCTTCGAGTGTATCTAGTCCAGTGTTGAGGACCTTGGAGCCCAGACTGGTGACAAAATCCAAGCGAGAAGGGGCCGCGGATTCGTTTTTATCGTCAACATCTTCCTCTGGACTTTTAGCCCTATCCTGTGGCGGCTCCTTAGCAGCCTTTTCTGCCTTTTCAGCTACATTGATGCGCGCCAGTTCCTCGGGATCGGGCACTCCGATGATCTGATTAAGGCCCTGGTTGACTTGGGTGGTTATCGTGCCCAATCCCTCCGTGGCGGTGCTCAGCACGGAACTAAGTTTTCCGCCCCACAAACCCCAGGACGAGGATGAGGCGGGTACTGCTGCTGGAGCAGAAACTCTTTCCAGCTTTTCCTGATTTTCCACCGCGCCTTTTGCGTCGTTTCTGCTCGAGCTTTCTGCTTTCTCCTCTGGCTGTGGCTCCTTCTCCACATGAACGAACTTGTCCTCGTCGTCGCCCCAGTCGTCCCAGTTGTCGTCCTCGTCACTTTGGGCCCAGTCGTTACCGCCGTCCTCTTCATTTTTTGGATTTTTCGCCATTATTTGTTTATTTGTGCTCCACGTAGATTTTTAGGATTTGAGCGAGATCTGCCAACTCACTGCAGACTTAACAGCTGTTACTTACCAGGCTGCCAACTCGCTGCACTCTCTTGTTTGGCGCGCATATTTGAATGTTAACTGATTTAGGTTTGTTTTCGAACTTAATGAATTCAAGTAATTAATCTTAGTTATAAATTCGTAATTGTGAATGCCATATGAATATATTTGAACACCTCGGAGTATAATTATGATATAAATCGAAAAAAGCATTGTCAGAATAAATGCGAGATATATTTACCCTCGAATAAAATCTTGCTTCAAATCAAATTAATAAGCATCTTAAGGATCTAAAAGCGTCTATGGGAGTCTAGAAAAGTCTTGGAGTCTCGGAAGGAGGAGGAGTATATATTATTCCTTATTTAATACTGCATTGCTATTTTTTTAACAGAATCGCCAGAGTTCTGCTTAATTTGAAAGTGATTTTGGCGAACTTGCTGGCTTGCCAACATTGTGCCAATTCTAACTGGGCTCATAAATTAGAAAATCACACATGCACGCCTGCAAATGCTCGTTCATCAGCCCAAAAACCGAAAAGTTTTGCTAGCTAAGCTTACCAGCATATAAATTTGACAGCCACGCTGGAGCAGCGCAAAATTAACAAGCCAACACCACTTTCACACACACACACCCACCTTTTCCATAAACAAGGAATTTTCATAAACTTGCAGCACAATTTTAGGCAGCCGCTGCCACAGACTTTCCCCGAATGAAGCAACCACACGAATATTTCGTCAAGCGGGCAAATTTATCTTACGCAAAAACGGCAAGAAAACTGGGTTAGCTCTATCTCCATCTCCATCTCTCCGGTGATATGAGTAATTTTTTAATTAAAATCCTAAAAGAAGGTAGTAAGGTTCCCTGCCGCACAAGCCAAAACCGCTAAAATGTCAGTTAAGAACTAAGACACCTTTCCCAGCCAACTTGCCTTAAAGCGGCGCACCCAGACCGCCTTTCTTGGGACTAGTAATTGCATGTTCTGTGTCTGGTCTGGCCAAAAATTAAATGTAAATTTGCCAGCAGATAGGCGAACATGTGCGGGAGTGGAGACAAATGTGTATTGTCAGTTGTCTGGATCAGAGGGTAGAGTAAAATTCAAATAAATAAACATATTTCCATAATTTTACGAGCACACTTTTAGATGCATTAGGTGGTGTTCGTTACACCACTCTAAACTAAAAACTATATGTACCCACACCACATGGAGCTTTGCACCTGGCCTTTGATCCTGCCCTTGGCAACATCCTTTTGGTTAAATCATTTACCCTACGTGACGTACAAAAAGAATGTTTGGCAAGCCGTGCTGTAAACCAAAATACACCCATACAATGTATTGGCAACACAGAATTAAACTAGAAAATTGGTTTAAACCATGGGCAAACAAGAATGGGCAGAAAAGTGGGCCAGGTTGTCTGGAGCCCCCGCAGTTGACGAAATTGATGGGCCACACTCACATCATCGTTGGCTGCCAGGCGACATCTTCGCCATGGAACTAATATCTGGAGAGGAGCTACTATGTTGTGGCTCCCACATCCCCATCCACTACTTCCCAGGACAACAATGTTATTGATACCTCCGCCGGAGCCCCGGACAAACAAGAGAACCCTTTCGGCAAGTTCCCTCGAGCATATTGTCTCAGTGTCTACGCCTCAGTGTCTCTTCAAATTTATTTCCATCGACTTGATGTCGCTTTGTGAGGAGCTGTGCCGATGACAATAAACCAAACTTCCAGATGTTTATTAACATGTTTCTCTGTCAATATATCTATGAATACACGCACATGTGCACGTATCTACACTCGTATCTCCAATGCCAAATTGACGATGCTGATGAGGCTGCTGAGGCTGCTGAAGGGGCGGGCTGGTGATGGAATCCGGACCCGTACCCGGAACACATATCTCTGCCCTACAAGTATCGCTTTACGAGTGGAAAAATTCCTTTAGGCCAAAGTGTGCATTAAGAAGATTGTTTTACTATTGTTGTAAGACACCCAAAACGTACACATTTATCTATACTTATAAATACGAAGACCCCACGCAGATACTTTAACTACATGAACACTGAATGCGCTGGGAGAAATGAATGCGTTGCATGAGTGAAAAGTACCTTTAGAGTGTTTTTATCCTCGACACCTAAATTTAATTGCAGCTTCATTTGTTATAAATTACTACTTTTTATTAAAATCACCGAAACAAACACGGCTTTATTGTTTTTGCAGTGTACTCGCACGAAACTTGCCCACAGGCGAATGCTTCTTGTTCGCTCGTCTTTCGTCCTTCGTCCTACGTCCTTCGACCTGCTTCCTGCCACTTTTCCCATTTTCTCCTTTGGCATCTAGAACAGCTTCCTTGCCGTTGTCATTCCACTCAACAAAAGGATTCAAATTTCATTAAATCTCATACAAAAGTATCAAAATGCCATTGTTGTCATGGCACTCACACTCATACCCTCACACACTTCGACTGCATTTGCCAGGACCTTCACGCACACATTTCAGGCACTGGGAACATGGAAGGCTTGACGTCTTTGGCTTTCACTTTGGGCCTTTCATTCGATTTACGTTTGAAGTTACCCCATATGTGCCCATGTGCCCATGTGCCACATGGGGCAGGGACGCACTGCCTGCCGAGGAGGCGTGTCCTGATCGCTATCTGCTGTAATGGAAAACTTAATAGACAGTCGTCGAAAATAAACTGCCAGAGGACTTTACAGACCAAAACGTTAATCGCAGCAATTGCACTCGCAATTGATAGCCAAGCCTTGTTTAGATAATCCCCACAAAATCAGGCACCATTGCCAATACAGCGATGTATGATCTGCGCAAATTGGGTTGTGGGAAATCACACCTGCCGAAAGGTATTAATATGTGTTTACTGGGGCACTAAGCTCCTTACTTTCAGTCGACTCGGTTCCAGTTTGTGGAAATAGTGGTTAAGTGAATTACGAACGTCAGGGCAATTCAAAGGTCGCAATTAAGTTGCCCAAGACCTTTCATCTTTGAAACACCTACTAGCTAGGTGCTACTAAGAGTATTAAATCCTCATACTATTCGATATATATATCAGGAAAATTGTTTTATTAAAACATCAGTCTGCTAAGCAACACGCGCATCATTTGGAAAGCCAAAACACCAACAGCCGCAGAAATGCGACATGCCTCCTTATCGTTAGAACTTTTTTGGCTAAAGGAAACTTTTCAAATTGCTTTCGCATTAAAAATCACTAAAATGCGTTTCCGCTCCACTGCAACCAGGTCGTTATGTCGCACACTGTACGTGCACATTGTGTGTTGTCTCACTTCAAGTGTCATTAAGTTTTCGGCGATCGCCCATGTCCTTGATATTGGGTTTCCTTCGGTTCTCGTCAACTCATCAGCGTTGAGCTCACAAAAGTTCAACTGACCTCCGCTCCCGCCCCCAGTGACTGCTTGTGTGGACGTGGCAGTTCGGTTTAAACATTTATATGTGTTCATGTGTCGAGTGAGGAAGTAGCCACAAGATGATAGTCGAAACTTGGCCACAATAAAATTGCTGTAAACAATGTGGGCGAACCGAACATATTTTCATAAGCCCTCGTCCTTTGACCTCGAATAAAACCGCACATCATTGGGCAGTTCTGCCGGAGCTAAGACCAGATAACTGACCACTGAAATATCACACATACGCCAAGTGAGCCAATCAGACAGAGGCAATTTATATTCTATGGCTTGGAAGATATCCCTTTACATATGAATAAATTACAATTTCAGCCTTAGTCACTGAGTTAAAGTCACTGAGTTAAGGTCAATATATAGTTCTTTGGTTTTGGAAGTTTTTTAATTGTAACTATCAAGCTTTACCACACACTTAAAATGACTTCTTTCTTCCCCCTCTTGAATTGTTCTCCAATATTTCGTCGGATAATCATTACTGCCTGGAATCGCATAAGAAATCACGTACCACGCGGTTTGCAAATGTCAACGAGAAGAACAGAATGATGCCACGCATGCCACTAATGAGGCTCGTTAGCGTGGTCATCCAACGGGCTCCCCTCTGGACCCACAAGCCCTTAATCCTTCCACTTCCACTTCCACTTCCACTGCCACCATCCATATTCACATCCATGTCCACCCACGTGGGCTCATTGGGCGGGTAATGTATGCAACAAGCCGAATTGTACAAAGTACGAGTAGCAGGCAAATCGATAAAGTAATTTGGCCATAGCCACCCAAACCAACCCGACTTCCCCTTCCCCATCTCGCGAACATTTGGCCACATAATTTTGTTTGGCGGAGCAGCACGTAGCCGATGACTGAGTGACTGGGAAGACTGGGTAGCCCGGGGACCAGCTCCTGCTCCGGATTCGTACGCGTACTCGTACTCGGATTCCGATTCCGATTCCGATTCGGATTCTGTTTCGGATTCGGATGGGTTCGCCTAATTGCAGCACCATCTTGCGGTTATGCGTTCTACGTGCGTTTGTCGCACGTCTGGCTAATTAAAATTGCATTTTTCGTACGCTCCGAGCGGGTTATTGATATGGTCCATGTGGACATGGTCCATGGACATCTATGTGCCTATGTATCTATGTATCTATGCACCAGTTGGCCATCGTTCACAGCGCACTGGTGGAGTGGAGCAAGTTGAAGGATGTGATATCCTCGATTGGAGCCAGTATAATAACCAAAAACATCAGTTATTACATCGTGGATACTTCTGCTGCTCATCCCGAAACCTTTGCTCTTTGTTTCGAACCCGTTCATCTTTTTGAGTGTGGGGAGCTTGAATGCCTTCACCATCTGCATAAAGTCAATCAATCGCAGCGGAATGCTTAAGAGGGTCAGAGACCTCCGTCGACATTCCCAGTAGGCCTAATTAATTGATTGAGGATGTCATCGGCTTGCGCTGGTTTCGGCCACCTCCGCGCTCGCTTTGTTGTCGAGGTCACAGTTGCAACTGTCATAATATTGACTCATTGCCGTTGTAATTAATGGTGTTAAGACTCGCACGCCATTTTAATGCAATCGAATTGACAGGCGGCATCCGTTTCGCGTGCCCTGCACTTCCCTCATTTCCATGGGCGAGCCATCGTCTGGGGGATATTGATTTCAATTATAATGATGTAGCACAATGGACCCAGTTCCCCCATTGATGGCCCTTTTGCTCTTTCCCTAACCGTAACCCCGTTGCCCGGAGGGCGAGTTAACTATTTGTTAACCTCTTGGTTTGTGCTTCGAATATTAAATAGAAAACCAGTTTCCTGCTGGAAACTCCAGCAGTCATTAATTGAAAGGCCGGCCAGTAAATTCTTGTGGCTGAAGCTCTAACAGAGGTGCCATAATGAGCTGCCCCTGATCCAATTCTCCTTTATTAATAAAAAATTTGCAGCATATCAAATCTTACAAGGAATCTGCAAATGCACATGGAAAATTTGATCAGTCTTCGTCCGAGCTGTAATCGCTGTCCAAATCGACTTCTCCTATGTGGGTATCTGGACAGTAGGGTTTCCTCGCTGCCGGAACAGGTTCCTCTTCAGACTTTAGGGTGTTCTTGCTCCGCAGTTGCACTCTTCGCGGGGAATTCCAATTCCTTCCGCTGATCGAAGGCTCATCCTCCGAGTCGGAACTTGCAATTTGTGGTTTTCTTGATATACTCCGTGCTCTTGGCCTATTTGATGTGCTCGGGATATGGTCGGTGAACAGCTCGCCTTCACCCGGCTGAAGCTGACCATCGTTCTGGTTCTGGTTCTGGTTCTGGTTCTGGTTTTGCTGGGCAACAAAGGGACCTTCTTCGCCATGGTTAGGGGCATATTTCCCCTCTGGCGGCAAGTCGTCGATAAAGATCTGTCTATCGGGTATGTCCTTATACGCGTCACTATCCGCCGACTCCTCCTCGCTGTAATCAGATTCCAGAACATCGGATTCAGAGCTATCCACGTAGGACTTACTCATCTCGGTTTTCAACGATCTCGGTGGAGTAGCAGTGCTCCTGAGTGTGATGGCTTTTGTGTAGGGATCGTTAGCTCGATCGATGAGTTTTCGATTGTATTGCACTAGTTTCCCCTGCTCAGTTTGCGACTTTTGGGGTCGCATCGCTTTCAGCTCCTGTACTAACTTTCGACTCCGCTGTGGAGTGGCCTTGACCGGATCCGGCAGCTGAACCACCTTCTCGGAACCCGCTCCATGCATAGTGGACTTCCAATCGCGCATAACCAGCTGAGCCAGCAGGGGAAAATCCTTCGACTCGGGTGAGATGAGAAGACTTTGCTCCATTTCCCTGCGATTGGGCGCGGTTTTACCCGTCTCCAGGCGAAATGTTTCCAGGGTGTGTTTGTAGCCGAACCAATCGAGGAACTCCATAACCAGCTGGTTTATGAGCTTAAGCAGGGTGTGATCTTCCGAAGGATTGGTTCCATCAGTTGCTCCGCCGGTAAGGGGCTGCATTTTGGACATATTCAGCTGGCCACGCAGCATCATAAGGATCTTCACGTGCATTTCGCTCCGTAGAGCCGCCATTGTGCCATTTTTCTCGAACTGGCTTTTAATATTCTGTTCTATCAACTTCTCGTAGGCAGCCTCCAGCTTTCTCCCATTCGAACTCATAGTTGTGAATTTTGTATTAGACCAATTTAGGGAATCAAAATATATATATACTGTATCAATTTTATATCTACGCTGTACGTTCAATTTGACTTTGTGATTAGTTGTGGGCATAAGCTAGAAATTTCAGTTTGGCCATTATTCACACAGCCTCCTTTATGTTTTAGATCATTCTAACTTCTAACCTGGCCTGTGGCCAGGTTCTCTACGAATGTCTGGAAAGTTTATTTTACTTGCCAAATCAGTCCAACTCGTTAATCATTCAGATAACCTTGAGGTTGGCCCAGTCTGCGCATATATTAGCCATTAGTTGGACTTGTTGAACCTGAGCCTTGGCTGAGAATTTTACTTACTCGTTAAATGTAAGCCTGTAAAAGCTATTGCATTGAATAAATAATAAACAAATAATATATAAATAAATTGATTAACAAGGGGTCGCTGCAAAATATTCGAAACGCGCGCTTGATGGAACTGAAAAGTTATTGAAAACTTTTTCAAATATATATCGTTAAACCTAATACTCTTTTAACTACTAGTGCGATAATCAGACAAATGAATTCTTTTATAACAGTACAAAAAGAGCCAACAGAGAACGTTTAAAAAATATACACAAAACTTTATCAGGATCAACTTCTGGGTGACTTTTTGGGTGGTGAGTTTTTCTTTTCATTCATTTGTAGGTGCTGCAAAAAGTTCGCTCAGCGATTGAGCCAAAGAATTATTTAATAACTATTTTCTTGCCATTTTGCCGTTTTTTCCAGGCTTGTTGGAAAAAGTTATCTTTGCATTTGCTTTTAATTTTTGTAATGGAATTGTTAAGAGCTAAGGGCCGGGCAGGGGTAGCAGCTGATTTATAAGCAGCCAAAAGTTTTTGAGAACAAAAATTCATCGGTGAAAAATGCCAGCCGCATTGGCCTTAAAGTTTTCCACTCAGCCCTTGCTTAAATATTTGCCCAACTAATTAGCAAAAGTGTTGGCAAGGCAGCAAAAACCCTGGCGAAATTTGTAGATAAACATATCTATATATTAAGCCCAATGCTGCGCCATTTCCGGTTTATCTCTCGGCTAATTTTTATTGGTGTAGCAAAGCAAAGCCAATTAGGCAAAATGGCTGCGACACATTTCCGCTGGTTTGCTGAGCCATCTCGAACCCGTTAAGTGGTACCGGGGTCAAGACCCCCTGACCTGCACTGACCTGACCTCGAATGAGCGGAGTACGGGCATCTAGAGGATTTTTCAAGGCAATGTTCTGCTTATGCAACATATCCTTACATTTAAGTTCATGGATTTCACTGCGTCAATTCAACCAATTACGTGATAAAAACTACAGCATAGACCTTGAAATAATAACTTTTACTTATGTTATAATACACATCATAATTTTAATCGCTAATCAAATCTAGCAGCTATGTTAGTTTAAAATTTTGCAAATTTTTCTTAGCTGCATAATAAGCCACTATTATTTAGATGTATTTTACATCAAACACTTTGCAGACTACTAACTTTTTATGATTTAATATTGAAAGGATAGGGTATTTCTGAGCTTGCCAACTATATCGGATTCGCTTTCTTTTTGCCATTATCCTTGCCGTATTGTTGTTATTTCAGTGACACTTTCGCATTTTGCTAATCGCATTAATTATGCTTTTCGCCTATTTGCTGCTGGGCCTCTGGTCCTGTTTCTGTGTCCACTCCAGGACCAGAGCGAAATGGCCAGCAAATTGAACAAAAGCAAACTGCAGGCAAAGAAAGCGGTGTGGATAGGGGCTGTGGGGAGTTGATGGAGTAGCCTCCTCTACTTTTCAGGCATAATTGCCTCTCAAGGGAATTAAATTGAGCTGGGAATTTCGTTGGCAACAAAAGATGAAGACGGCATTTTATTTCATTAATTATCAATTAGTTTTTGAAAGTTGTTGCGCCTGATTTATTAAGTGGACAGTGGCTGTCAGTGGCACTGGCACTGGCATAACTTTTGAAATGCCAGGCTCAATTTTCTTGATGAAATTGCTCTTCAATTAATTAACCAAATTGTTTTGCGGATACAAATTATATTCGTGTATGCCGCAAATTAATCAGTTATCATGTGAGAAGTGCTGCCAGGCCAATTGCCAATGAATTAGTGTCATTTTTCACCTCTTGAAAGCTCTTCTACTTTTAGTTAAGCTCTCAAAATCCATTTTCTTTGGCTTTAGTTGCGGCTTACCAAATTTTCATTAATTATGGAAATAGGACACAACTTTTAAGTGAATTCACTTTAGAATTGAAACCGATTGGCTGCCAAACCGATTGGCCACAATGTTGTAAGCTTATCCTACAAGTACTTGATTTAAAAGTATCTTTTTATTGTGCTTATGTGCGTAAAGTTGGCTTATCATAAACAAAATCTAATTTTGCTCGTTTTGCTTACTTAAAATTATTTATGTGCTTCCGAATGGTTTTAATCATGGCCTCAGCCTGCGAGTTCGATGAGTCGCGTAGTAAGCCGATGACCTCTGAGATTCCTCCGCCAGGACGACCTCTTTGTGCCTTGGTACACAAGGCGAACAAAACTCCTGCGCAGGCGCCCCTTTTGCCCTCCCAGTTCTCCGGACTGGGGTCGAGTCTGTTTGCAAATGAAATTAATTGAAAATGGTATAATTATACCACTTGAATGTTGGCCTTACTTTTCGAGCATATCAAATGCCTTGGCTGCCACCCAGAACTCTGCACACCTGTAGCACTCATTGGCAATCAACTGCAGCAGAATAAATGCCTCTGCGTTCGTATCCCTGGTGATGAATACGTTCCAAGCCAACTCCGGATGACCGCAGTGTATGTGGCACTTGGCCAGGACCATGCAGTAGGTGTGCTGATTCTTGATGTCCATGTCGGTGATCTGCATCAGCAACTCCTCCGCCTCCTTGTAGTATCCTGTGGCGCATTTGGCCTGGGCAAAGTTATAGTTGAACACGTCGTCGTTCACGAAGTAGCTGCGAATGGAGTTCATGTAGACCAGCACCTCCTCGAATTGCTCGTAGAGGAAAAAGGCGGAGGCCATACTCTGGCGGCCAGGTATGGTGTCGCACTCAGTTGCCGAACTCCCCACCAAATGCAGGTTCTGCTGCGCCGTCTTGATGTGCTCCTTCTGAGAGATACAAAGTATGGTATAAACTGTGGGATCCTTATCTGCGCCCTTACCGATCCCAGCTGCTGGCCAAGAGCAGCGTGCACCACTCCCTTGAGTATGTACTCATGCGGCGAAGTGGGCTGTAGCTCCTTCATCAGAGCATGGGCTTCCTGGACATCGCCCTGCTTGAGATAGTATATGGCCAGGTTCAAGCGAGCCTCAGGAATAATATTCAGCAGTCCTGGCAGCACTCTCAATGCTCCTTCGCCGTTCCGGAAGACGACCAAGTTGTGCCGCAGTAGATCCGCTCCAAAGGTGCCATTATCCGCTATATTCTTGATTTCCTGCTCGGCCACACGACCGTTGAACAAGCGAAATCGGTTGCAAGCCTTCAGGTTAATAGCTATAGTGCTATCGCCATGTTGACTGAGATATACGTCCAGGACCTCCTGGGACATGTCGTAATAGTCCAGCTTATAGAAACACAAGGCCAAGTACACGTTGATGGCCTGGTATTCCTTGTTGTCCACCAGCACCCGTTTGTACACATCGATGGCCTCCTGGTAATGGGCCCGCATGTAGTGCATCGAAGCCAGGCTGAGTTGCTGCTCCAAGCTGGAGGAATCCTGCAGCTCCTCCTGCAGCTGGCTCCACTCCTCCTCGCTGCCCAGCTTGTGGGCCAAGTGGAAGAGGAGTCGCTGCTTCAGCGGGTTGTCAGCCGCATTGGCCATCAGTTGTTGGGCCTCCTCGTACAAGCCCAGGTAGAACATACACACGGCCACGTTGAGATCCAATTTCCCATCCGGACTGGAGGAACCCTGCTGTATGGCCTTGTACTGGGCCAGTGCCTGTTGGTAATCACCCAAATGGAAATTGCAAAAGGCAATCCACTGATCCACCTGACTCTGCTTGGATCCACGGGCACCCTCCTCTTCGTCCTCCACATCGTTGGCGAACTGAAATGGATGCACCGCTTGGATATTCTACAATTCGATTTTTCTTTAAGCGAGGCAATAGTTTAGAAATACCGTAGCGAATGTTTCTTTGGTTTTAGCTGTAGTACCAGTATTAGGAGGTACACATGTTGATTTCACTGCTTTAATAGTGACTAATAAAAGCACAATGTATAAATGCAAAAATAAGCTAATTAAAAAACAAGTTTTGCCTAACTGCATATACATATAAAACAGGTCCATTTCGGCAAACATAGCAAGTTGTTTTCAGACAAAACTAATAGTATGCTGTGTTATGTGGTAGCACAAATGAATTATGAATAAACAAAGCTAACATGTCTTTGAACCACAATATTTTAATTCACAGATTTAACTTCAGCAGACTCAAATGTTACAGTGTCGTTCAGAATACAATGGCTGGCTATCGATCGATTAATGTATTCGGACTAAGAGATGCAAAATTATACGCGTCACTAATCTATAAGTAATTCAAAAACGAGTCTAGGCCAACTTCAACGTCTTCCAAACTGGTATAAAAGCAGCTGACATATAGTCAGATTGCATAGTGATATCCACCATGAAGTTCTTTGCTCTGATTGTGTTTCTCTTAGTCGCGTTGATAGCAGGAAAGGCAGATCCTCTATCGCCGTCCTTCCAAAAATGCCTTGATGAAATAAGTGATGCGGAATTGTGTGAAAATTTCAAAGATCAATTCCCAGAAGATGCACCTGCTGTTCCTCTTGATGAATATACCTTCGAAGCCCGTTCTGGATAACTTCATTTTCGTTGGGTAATTCCGACAAACGCGAATTAAGCTGAATAATTTATTGTGCACTCTTGCTTTATAAGTTGAATAAATAAACCAATGACTATATACACTGCGTATGCGATTGTGTTTTGTAAGCTAAACTAACAACTATATTAGCACTAAAAAGTGCTAACTAATGACGACTAATTAGTTTATTTGAATTATCAAGAAAAAATCATGTATAAAAGTAAAGAAAAAACAAAGTTATTATGCGGAAGTTACTTTTACTGTTGGTGCCATGTATATGAAAACAAATTGTGAAAATTCAGAAACGATTGTCCGCTGAAAGTAAT